CTGTTACTGTCACAATCGGGTGCTCTGGAAACAACTGTAGAAGAGCTTGATGCTTCTGCAGCTTCCTCTGCTGCTGCTACTTCTGGTGCATCGACACATGTAGAGTCCGAACCTGTGGTTACGCTCGGGATTGGTCCCATGGACTGGCATGGTGGCAGCACGGCCAACAGCTCAGCCTTGGAAAAAATGCCGGTGCAGACGCCGACAGGCTTAGCACCGCCGAACCTGGCAGCAATTATGTCATTTGGCTGGAAGAAGAAAGAGGAACAAAACAAGCGTATACGTCGGAGTGAAGAGGGGAAGGAGGGGAGCGTCGACACTTTGAGTCGGCTCAAAAATCTGGTGGTGCACAAACGTTGAGGCGGGGATAACAATGGCAGCAGGAGTGGGAGGAGAGGCTATAGCTGTACTGAATCAACCGTGTCCTGAACACGAGCATGCGTCATGCATATCCCACCATGTCCCGAACATGCCATGCCCATTAGCTCATGTGGCTTCATCCATATCTCACCGTGTCGCCAACATGTGCATGCAGCCGAAAGGGCCGCCCTGCAATTTGCTCCTCTGCTCGCTGCCTCGCTATCCGAACCAGCTCTCCCCGATCCATGTGGTCGCTCCCAAACCTGTGTAGGTAGGGGGATATATGTAAAGGTGGAATGTGCGAAGACATATGAATAGCAGCTCTTCCTGATCCATGTAGTCACTGCCGAACCTGGGCCGGGAGATAAATGTAGAGGTAGATTATGCAAAGACAGGTGGAAGGGGGGGGAGCCATTGCAGCTATTTTTGATGCAATTGTGAGGGGGGGAGGGGGGTACAAACAGCGCCTCTGTTTCAGCATGGTTGCTGCGATGGAAAGCCGCTGCAAAAGCCTTTCCACGCTATACTATACCAGGCTACCCGGGCAGATGTCAGGCGCCTCACTACTCATCCTCACCCTTCCATGCTCATCCTCACCCTCCTAGTACTGCCATTGAGCCATGCTATTGGCTGCAGATTGCACCACCTGCCATGCCAACCCATCCCATGCTACACCAAGCTACCAGGGTAGGCGTCAGGTAGACGCCTCATCGCTCATGTGCACTCACCCTCCAATGCGGGGCGTGGTGAAGAGCGAATCCACCTCCAGCCCTGCCATCTTCAGCCATGCTATCTGCTCCAGATTGCCTGTCACCTGCCATGCCATGCCATGCCATGCCATGCCATGCCATGCCCACCATTCACGCCATTCCATGCAATGCCACCCACATCAGGTTTTACAAGTAAGCAAACACTCGACACTATTCTGAACAACCAAGCAAGCAAGCAATGAGACAAGATGGTTAGCTCAGGACAAAAGAAACAGGCATGAACCAGTCCCAACAACTCACTGAACCGCCTCTCACCAATCCCAACACCACACTGAGCCGAGCTCCGACCACCACCGCACTGAACCGTCTCTCACCAATCCCAACAGCGCACGTCCCACCACCGCACTGAACTGCACTCTCACCAGTCCCACCACCACACGGGGCTGCATGCTTGAGAGCTCCTCCAATAGCGTGCGGACACCTGGCAGCAGCGCGATGCCGTCCGCTGCATCTCCCGCATGCTGCTCGCAGTACTGCAGCATGGCTTCACATAACACTGGCAGCTGTGGCTCACTGATCTGCGGGTGATACGGTGGGGGGAATGAGTGGCAGCACATCGCACACGGTAAGATCCAATGAGTGCGACACAAGCACAGCGCACGGACCACTGATTACTGAACCCCCCGCATTCTCCTGGCAGTACTGCAGCATGGCGTCACACAGCACTGGCAGCTGAGGCTCGCTGATCTGCGGGTGACACGGAGGGGGAAAGAATGGGACGCACACTGTAGGATCACGGGAGGGCGACACACGCACAGCACAGCGCAGCACAGCGCATGGAGCACCGACCACTGAATCCTCCCCATGCCTGCACATAAAACTGGCAGCTGTGGATCTGTGGGTGATGTGATGTTGACGAGGGGGCAAGGAGGGGGAAACAATGGGACGCACAGGGCACACTATAAGAAACGCAGCACAGAGCACAGAGCACAGAGCACAGAGCACAGAGCACAGAGCACAGAGCACAGAGCACAGAGCACAGAGCACAGAGCACAGAGCACAGAGCACAGAGCACAGAGCACAGAGCACAGAGCACAGAGCACCGAGCACCGAGCACAGAGCACAGAGCACAGAGCACAGAGCACAGAGCACAGAGCACAGAGCACAGAGCACAGAGCACCGAGCTCAGAGCACAGAGCACAGAGCACAGAGCACAGAGCACAGAGCACCGAGCACAGAGCACCAAGCACAGAGCACAGAGCACAGAGCACAGAGCACAGAGCACAGAGCACAGAGCACAGAGCACAGAGCACAGAGCACAGAGCACCGAGCACAGAGCACCGAGCACAGAGCACAGATCACCGAGCACAGAGCACAGAGCACAGAGCACAGAGCACCGAGCACAAAGCACCGAGCACAGAGCACAGAGCACAGAGCACCGAGCACAGAGCACCGAGCACAGAGCACAGATCACCGAGCACAGAGCACAGAGCACAGAGCACAGAGCACCGCCCGCTGCATCCCCCGCGTGCACTGCACTGCACTGCACTGCACTGCACTGCACTGCACTGCACTGCACTGCACTGCAGCATGGCTTCACATGACGCTGGCCCCTAAAGCCCGCTGATATGCGGGTGACAGGGAGGGGGGAACAGCGGCATGTGCTGCTCAGGGACGGACGGGAGGGGAACATGAACGCGGCATGTGTCTACAAACTCTGAGCCATCGACTCTGATTAAGTTTTCTTCCTCGTCCCTCTCCCCTCCCCCACCCCCACCTCGCACCCCTCTCCCTCCCCGTCCCCCTCGCAATGTGCCACACTCACGTGTCTGGGAATGCCGTAGAACTCGAGTGTATTGATCAGCACTGCTTGGTCCGTGCTGCCGTGGTGCTGGGGATGGGGGGAACGGGGGGAGGGTTCAACAGAAGGGGGGGGGGGGCGGTGGGGAAGGGGGGAAACGAGAGATTGAAGGGAAAAGTGGTGCTGAAGGGGGAATGGGAGACCGAGGAATACCGTAGAGCTTGAGAGCAAAGATCAGCATTGCTTGGTCCGTGCTGCCGTGGTGCTGTGGTGAGTCGGGGAAGGGCCACGGGAAAAAGGGAGAGTGTGGGAAGGGGAGTGGGGAAGGGGAGAGTGGGGGAATGAGGGGGGTGGTGGGATGTGGACGGGACGAGGAAATTGGGGAATCACGCGAATCACGTCGCATCGTACCTGGATCGCGTCGCATCGTACCCGAATCGCGTCGCAGCGTACCCGAATCGCGTCGCAGCGTACCCGAATCGCGTCGCAGCGTACCCGAATCGCGTCGCATCGTACCCGAATCGCGGCGCAGCGTACCCGAATCGCGTCGCATCGTACCCGAATCGCATCGCATCGTACCCGAATCGCGTCGCATCGTACCCGAATCGCGTCGCATCGTACCTGAATTGCGTCTATGGTGCCATGGATGCCAAACACCTTCTTCATCGCATGCGCGAAGGCGCGTTTATGCAGCTTATTGGACTCCGAACCGACGGAGTGGATCAGCGTCCCGTCCACGTCGAACGTGATCAGCACCCGCCAATCAGCGGCTCCTGCCACGTCAGCCGTCTGCGCCACGTCAGCGCTCATGGTTATCTGATTGCGGACGCGCGGAAAGCGGCGAATGAGCAGGCCGCGTGGTCGATTGCACTGCGACAGGACGTTGCGAGAGCCAGCGGAATTCGCGGAACGCGAACCGCGGCGATTCTGCGCGAACGGGGCTCTACGACCAATGGGAATGGCAGGGCGAGCAGGCGTGATTGGGTGAGGAATGGGAAGCGACAGGCTCACTGGGTCGAAACGCATTGAGGCTGTCGTAGCGGCGACCCGTCTAGGAGCGTCAATGACTGACGAATAAGAAAGCTGGCGCGGGGTCGACTGGTACAGTATTGGATATAGTGGGACCGCTTCAAGTGGATCACAGATCTCACCTGGCTCCTGCAGTTCGGTTTCCGTAGGTTGTTTTTGGTTTCGTAGCTAAATCTGTGTTTCTATCAGAATTAGTCACGTTTTGAAACGGTGATGTGGGCAACATGGAATTTCGTGAGGCTGCCGATGACCCTCAAACCCTTTGAGACCTGCCTCGGTACACTGTATGCTTATGCATATCCGTAAGTGTAGCTATTGGGACAATGTCTATGATTTGAAATCAGGGCTCCACAGGGAGATGTGGTTCGGGCAGGGGGAAGAGGGTGTGGGGGTGGTTGGGCACAACTGTCAGCGACCAGCGAGACGTTTTGCCGTTTCATCCCCCGTTCCAAATTCCGTTTCCAGTCCAGGCAGGGTCGCACTCACACACCACCCCATCTCTCACATCCCCCATACCATCCCATCCAATCCAACCCCCCACAGCCATCAATACCTCCTCCTCCTCCGTCGTGTCCTCTGTCTGCCGAACGCGACTCCGCGACTCGCTCTCCTCTTCTGACAGGTAGCAATGTTCATGGCGGCGCGGCGGATGTCTTATTCTCTCGACTCCGTACAGAGCGACTCATTTCCTCGAACAGCCTCTGCTAACTAGGCTCTGGAAGCAAGAAACGCGTGAGCTCGAGTATACATACGAGTCGCCGCTAAATAGGGATTGTTAGCATGATCGGCGGCATTTGCTGGTTCGCCTGAGCACCAGTTCCGAAATAAGGGCTGTCGCAGAACGAGCGTTCCGTAATGTACTGCAGATTTCATGGCCGTAGAATAGGGTATTTCGGCCATACGGTTGTTCGCTCAGCAAGTCTCTAGGTCGCCGAAACTCTCGCGTCGTGTGAGTAACAGACGGTGGCGAATCCGTGTTGGTATCTCAACCGTGCTTCGTTCTTGTCGCGCCATAAGCTCTTGTTCCTCATTTGCGTGTGCATAAGCTTTCACACAGAGAGATACAGAGATACAAATTCGGTCCGCATCAACTATAGAATATGTCGTACCCGGGCCGCCATACCTCAGATCGAGGCGAATCGGCAGGCGGTCCGACGGACGCCCACAGCAGCAGCTGGACCAATGGCGCGGGATCCGCACTGCTGCCACGTGTACGGACACGTGGCAGTCCAGCGTCGGCTGCAGCACCAGGCAAATCCTTATCCGCGAACGACCACGTGCCTGCACTCCCATCGTCCCCCGGAGCGGATCCCCCTTATAAGAGCACCGACATCGCATATAAGAACGCAGATTCAAATGCTACTCCGTCTGATCTCCCCCTTAGAAATAGCGCTGACCTTCCCACTCGCGCTCACACCATGAACGACGTTCTTACCTCCTCCGCTTCTGCTCTCCCCTCCTCCACACCATCCTCCTCTGCTCTCGCATCGTCCGCGAATCACGTTCATGCCGTCCAATCCGCGCCGGACAGCCTCCCCGTGGAATCCGGAAAATCCGGGAAGCCACGTAGGCCTGTTCCTGGCCAAATGACGCCTCTCGCTGCGCTCCTCGGATCGCCGCAAACCGCGGGGATCGCGCTCTCGGGTCCCGACGCGTCGCCTCCCCCCATGCTGCTCCCCTCCCCGCCTGTTTCTCCCGTCGGGAACAGCTGCGCGGGGGAGGGGGAAGCATCCGCGTTTCTCCCCGCCGACTCCGCGGCCTCTGCGGGGGCGGGAAGAAGGGCTCCCCGCCGCGCGGGGTCGTGGCGGGCTTCCGAGAGCGCGGGGCGGGCGGAAGGGGCGGGTGGAGGCGGATTGGACTCCCCCCACGGGGTGGCGGAAGGGGAAGCGGGGGAAGCGGGGGGGGCGGGGGAGGGGGGGTGTTTCTACGAGTCGGTGCGCGTGCCCCGTGACGTGGTGCGCGTGTGGCAGGACTGCTGGCGTGGCGCGTGGCAGGCTGACGTGGAGATCCGATCCGCCGTGGATGGCGGGCTGGTGCTGGCGCAGGGCGCCGTGCTGGTGAGATGCTAGTTAGTGGGCGGCGTGCAGGTGAGAATGATAGTCAATAGACGCCGTGCTGGTGAGAATGATAGTTAATAGACACCGTGCTGGTGAGATGCTAGTTAGTGGGCGGCGTGCAGGTGAGAATGATAGTTAATAGACGCCGTGCTGGTGTGAATGATAGTTAATAGACACCGTGCTGGTGAGATGCTAGTTAGTGGGCGGCGTGCTGGTGAGATCATTCATACGCACCCTTGCAGGTTGGGTAATCTGTAGCCTCCCTGCTGGTCAGAAACTCAAAATGCGCCTACTAGTGATTGCTGGTGAGATGGTCATTAGGCTCGTTGCAAGAGAGTTTACTGTACGTTTTAGGAGCACATGCGCCCCCTACTCATCACCTTTACTCCCTCTCCTCCCCCTCCCCCTCTCTTCCCCCCATCCCAGGCGGCGCACTCACAGGGCCTGGAGCGCATGCTGGAAGGAGCAATGCTGGAAGGAGCCATGCTGGAAGGAGCCATGCTGGAAGGAGCCATGCTGCAGCAGCAGGCGCGAGCACTCTTCAACCACGACCTGCAATAACCCCCCCCCCTCTCCCGCCCCCCTTCCCCTCCTTCCCCAGGCGGCCCACTCCCAGGGCCTCGAGCGCATGCTGGCCGGCGCCATGCTGCAGCAGGCGCGGCCCCCGTGGGTGATAGTGCTGAAAGGAGTGCCCGTGGAGGCGATCAGGGGCGTCATGCAAGCGCTCTACTGCGGCACGTGAGTCTGCCTGTCCTGGCTTGTGATCTTCCATTTATGGAAAGGAGAAAAAGTGGGGGAAATGGGGGAGAGCAGGTGTGAGTGGGTGATCGTGCTGAAGGGAGTCCCTGTGGAGGCTATAAGGGGCGTCATGCAAGCGCTCTACTGCGGCACGTGAGTGTGCCTGTGCTGGCTTGTGATCTTCCATTAGTGAAAGGGAGGAGTGAAAGGAGTGGGGAGAGCATGTGTCAGTGGGCGATAGTGCTCATGGGGGGGGTCTGGTGGACATTGTCACATCAGGGGGATTGGTCAGGCGCCCACTCCAAGCCGACTCTTCTCCTCACAGCCCTCTGCCTCCAAGCCCTCTGCTTCCACCTCTTCTACATTACCCCCTACTTGCGTCGTTACCTCATCTGATTCCCCTTTTCTTGATTGTTACTCAATCCTCCTTCCTTTCCCTTCTCTTCAACCCACACCTCAAGCCCCTACACTCTTTCTCTTTCCCGCCTCCCCAGCACCCTCAATGAGCGGTACCATGGACGTCGCACTGATCATCGCCACATCTTCCACTTGCTCCGCACATCCCCATGCTTGTTTCTTCCCTTCCTCCTTGGCCCGTCCTTTCCCTTTTTCTGTGATAAACTGCCAGCATGGACGATGGGGTGATGGATCGGCACATCTTCCACCTGCTCCTCCTCGCACACTCCCTCCCCATCCCCCTCCTCAAATCCCTCTGTCTAGAGGCGCTGCGTTCCCGCCTCCTCTCCCCTGCCAACGCCGTCGACACGCTTGTCCTCGCGCGATTGGTCGGCTCACGCGCGCTGCAGGCGCTGACTCAGCAGTACATCGTGCGGCACCACGCTGACGTGGCGCTGACGGACGCGTGGGCGATGCTGAGTCAGGAGTACCCGGACGTGAAGGGGATGCTCGTTCAAATGGTGGAAGCGAGGAAGAAAGTGAGTGGATTGAACAAGAGGGTGGGGGTGAGAATGTGGGGGTGTTGATGCGCCTCGAAGGTTGTCTCTCTCTCTCCACCCACAAGTTTTTGAAGGGGATGCTTGTGCAGATGGTGGAAGCGAGGAAGAGGGTGAGCCACATAGATAAGAGGGTGGGGTTGAGGAGGGTGGGAGGGTAACAGGGCGCAGTGTTAGGGTGATTCAAATTAGCAGGACTGAGGGTGAGAGTGAGGAGGAGGAGAGAGTGATGGGGAGCGGCAGCAAAGAGGGCGTAAGTAAGGTGTGTATAGCACCGTGGATTGGTGGTTTGGCCATTCTCAAATTTCAACGCAAGGGACCATGCATGGCCGGTGTGCAACCACCATACCACCTCTCCCTTGCGCCCTCAATTCTTTCCTCTCCCTTGCGCCCTCAATTCTTTCCTCTCCCTTGCGCCCTCAATTCTTTCCTCTCCCTTGCGCCCTCAATTCTTTCCTCTCCCTTGCGCCCTCAATTCTTTCCTCTCCCTTGCGCCCTCAATTCTTTCCTCTCCCTTGCGCCCTCAATTCTTTCCTCTCCCTTGCGCCCTCAATTCTTTCCTCTCCCTTGCGCCCTCAATTCTTTCCTCTCCCTTGCGCCCTCAATTCTTTCCTCTCCCTTGCGCCCTCAATTCTTTCCTCTCCCTTGCGCCCTCAATTCTTCCTCTTCCTTCTTGCCTCTTGGCTTCTCCATGCATGTTGCATCCCCCCGTTGCCCACTGTTGCTTTCCCACCATGGCAGCGCGATACCGGCTTGCAGGGAGAGGAGGCGTGGGCTCTCCAGCAGGTGCAGCAGGCAGTGAGAGCGTTGGAGCACATCTGTAACGACGGCAGCTGCGCCTCCTCCGCCTCTGTCTCCTCTCCCCCTTCTGCTGCTCCTGCTTCTGCTTCCGCCTCTGAGCCTTCCTCTGCCTCTGCTGTGGAGACTGAGGGGGCGAGGGCGGAGGGTGGGGGGGATGGGGCAGAGGAAGGGGGAGGAGGAGGAGGGGCGGAAGGGGCAGACGGGGAGGGAGCAGAAGGGCCAAATCCCGATGGTTGCTGCTGCTGCTGCTGCTGCAGCAGCAGCTGCTGCTGGGGCAGATACTACTTCCGCAGACTCTCAGAAGCAACCAGACCAAACGGGTATAACAGGTCAATCGGGACCGCACACTCTCTCCCCTACTACCACCCTCGCGCCTACCCTCTCCTCCCTCTCCACCTCCTCCCACTACCTCGGCGGCAGCGGCACTCTCTCCACCCTCTCCTCCTCCTCCTCCATTCCCTCAGTCCGTCCCATGTCCCCCCCCACACCCGCCACCCCTGCCGCCCCTCCCACCCCCTGCGGCCTGCCCAAGTGCCGCCCGGTAGAGGGGCTGGTTCGGCACTTTGCTAAGTGCGGTGTGAAGGTGTCGGGAGGGTGTGAGAGCTGCAAGGTGGTGTGGCAGCTGTTGGAGCAGCACTCGAGCGCATGTGAGAAGCAGAGGGGATGCCGCGTCCCCCTGTGCAGGTGAGGCAACGTCCCTCTATGCATGTGGTGAGCTGCCGGTGTGTGGGCCTAGCTTGCAGGCAACACAGCACAGCACTGCCACTGCTGCCATACAGCGTCTTTATGCCGCCCACTCCTCTCTGGAGTAGCGCCGGAGTGCATGTGAGAAGCAGAGGGGATGTCTCATCCCTCTGTGCAGGTAATAGAGTCATGTCAGTCATGCCAGCCTGTCTGCCTGTCATTGTTGCCATACAGGTTCCTGGTATGTGCCATGCCATTCTCCTCCCACGTACAAAAGTTTTAAATTGAGGTGCTGTGGCGGCTGTTGGAGCAGCACTCAAGTGCGTGAAAGAAGCAGAAGGGGTGCCGCACTTCTCTGTGCACTTAAACTGTGCTCTTGTGCCTCATCCCCTTAGGGAGTTACACAGGCTTTTTGTGCCAGCGGTACCACCCCAATCAACCTCTCTCGTTCCTTTCAGCTCTGCTCACGCTTTCAGCTTGTTCCCTTTCCCGAACAAGAGCATCTCAGAAATCCGTACCCTTTTCCACACGTCCACTTTGTTTTTTTTTTCTTTCTTTCTTTCTTTTTTTTTCATTCGTGCTGCATGCCTTACTGTGTCTTGCATCCTCCCGTATTGACATCCCTTACTGTGTCGCTTGTTTCTCCTCTTCCCGGGCCTTTTCCTGCTGCCACAGGCAGTTCAAGAGCAAGCAGCAGGAGCAGGGCAGTGGGGGGCCTGCAGGCAAGGAGAATTTGAACGCAGCAGAGCAGGCGGAGCAGGTGACAGCACTAGCCAAGGCCCTCTTGGCTCTGGAGAATGCCAAGTCGTTTTAGGGCTGTTGTTGGTCCAGTGTTTAGAGAACTCTAAACTGCTCGCACACGAGGAGAAGTTGAGAGCAGCAGAGCAGGCAAGGCAAGTGACAGCACTAGCCAATGCCCTCTTGGCTGAGGAGAGTGCCAAGTCGCTCTAAGGCTGGTACTGGGCCAGGTCACCCTAGCTGCTCGCACTCAAGGAGAAACTGACAGCAGCAGTGCAAGTCTCTGCACTAGCCAAAGCTCTTGCAGCTCTAGGTGCCAAGTCGTTGTAGGTATTGGGCCATTATTCATGGGAGGGAGGGGGGAGTTACGGGTACCTGTGGCAGAAACTGCAGAGCAAATCACCGCACTAGCCAATGCCCACTTTGCTGTGGAGAATGCCAAGTCGCTCCAAGGCTGGTACTGGGCCAGACAACCGTAGCTGCTTGAGCTCACGGACAAGTTAACTACAACGGAGCACACAGAGCAAGTACTGGTAACCACAGTAGTCACGGCCCTTTTGGCTTTAGAGGGTGTTGAGTTGTTTTAGTGCCGTTTTTGGTCCAGAGACCCTAGCTGCTTGCAGCGTAGAAGTTGCAAGCAGCAGAGACTGCAGAGCAAGGATAGCACCAGCCAGGCTCCTTTTGGCTGTGCGTTCTACACTGTTACCCTGAAATTCAGGGTGGTTGTTAGGGGTATAACCTTGTCGTCGGCCCAAAATTATTTTGGGAGGCAAGGCAGCACTGTTGCTCCAGTGTAGTGTTTTGAGTCGTCCATTTTACTAGGTACAGGGTACTACTGTTACATATGCGTGACCATCGCTGCGCTGCAGGATTGTTGAGTATGACTGAGTAGTACGTCTGCGTGGTCTATTCTATTCTAGACCCTTCAGCTGCGCTCTAGCACTTCAACACACTACTACGGACCACAGCTCAAAGCTTCACGCTTCGACTAGTACCAGTAGCTGTTAACATCACTCAAGTGTTGGAGGTGCCGTCTACCACAATGAAATCAGCTCCATGCTCTGCACCTGTTGCTTCCTCCTGTCTCTCCCATACGATTCAAACCTTTCAACCTCGGCACATTCCCGCACCATATCCCACATGTTGGACTGCTTACTTGAATCATCACCATCCGAATAGAATAAGCGCCTTGTGATCAGTCTGGCATGGAACATCGCAGCAAGATACGGCAGGAGAGGCCAGTGGTGAGAGAAGGAGACCAGATGGTGATACTGGTGCGCCGTCAGCCTTCTCCCGCCATTAGCATGTAGCATGTGATACTGGCAAGCCTTCAGGACTGTGGGGCACCTGAAGATTGTCAGAAGACTAAGCGAGAATGAGTGCATTGAGCAGAGAAGTGGGTACAAATGCTAACCCTAATTTGGGTTGTACCCCTTATGGGCTACCCCACTACAGCCTACACAGCACAAACATCATTATACTTTGACAAAGATTGGCCTCACCTGCCACCTGCTTCGCGGCTTTGGGTGCAGGCTGGAATAACCAGGAGCGGAGCTGCCAGGAACCATGGCTTTCAAAGGGAGTTGGTTGATACGCATGCTGCCGTTTGCCTCTGGCACGAGCCACCCGTGGACAGAACACAGTGTGTCTTCTCCTCGTGTCCCTCCTGGACCGGTGGCTCTCTGATGCCCTGCTGCTGCTTTGGGCCATGGATCTGGACAGCAGGCTGGCAGAGCGACTCACTGGAGCCTGTTTTTGAGTCGACTCAAAAGCAGCGGCTCTGTGACGCACTGCTGCTGCCTCGGGGCATGGGTCTGGACAACAGGTCGGCAGAGCAAAGCACTAGAGGCGGGCACAGTGGGGGCAGCAGCAGAGGGCATGTGATTGGACCCAGTTGACGGGTCACAGGTGGTCCAAAAGGCCGTAGCATCGGCTAAGTTCTAACCACTGACTTGCGTGGACTAGAGGCCTTGGGCGACGATTGCTTGGCATGTGCAAGGCCAGACAAGCCCCTCGGTAGCTATCGAGGTTGCTATGTTGGAGGGGAGAGCGAGTAAGAGGCACGCACGGCTTCAGGCGAACACGTCTATTTCGATTTTCTGGTCTGAAGCGACTGTCTGTCACTGTCTTGGCTGAGGCGAGCGCAGTGAGTGAGGGTCGTGGCTTGGCGAAGGCGAGTGCATTGAGTGGGGCGAACATTGGGAGTGAAGTGACGGCATCAACCGAGGGGCCCACCTTGGCTCAGGAACCTGTATTGACGGCCGGGACTGCCTTGAGTGAGACTGCATTGACTGATACTGCCTGGACTGAGGAGACTGCCTTGACTGAGGCGACTGCCTTGACTGAGGCGACTGCCTTGACTGAGGCGACTGCCTTGACTGAGGCGACTGCCTTGACTGAGGCGACTGCCTTGACTGATACTGTCTTGAGTGTGGAGAATTCATTGACTGGGGAGACTGCCTTAACTGAGACTGCATTGACTGATACTGTCTTGACTGAGGAGACTGCCTTGACTGAGACTGCTTTGAGTGTGGAGAATGCATTGACCGGGGAGACTGCATTGACCGGGGAGACTGCATTGACCGGGGAGACTGCATTGACCGGGGAGACTGCATTGACTGGGGAGATTGCATTGACTGGGGAGACTGCATTGGCTGAGGCAACTGTATTGATGGAAAGGACTGCTTTGACAAAGCGGGGTGCACTGATGTGAAGGACTGCTTCCATAGAGGATCACTGCTGGACTCATGGGACTGCATTGACTGAGGAGACTGCCTAGGCGACTGCATTGACTGAACGTATGGGTCTGGCTGCTTGTAATTCATGAACGGAGCTGATCGGATCACGGGCAGGCGAGGAGAGAGCGGTTGTAGAAGCGACGTGACTGGGCGGGCCACTGGGATCGCCGGTTCACTCCTTACACCGGGCTGCCACTGCAACCCCCGATAACTGCCTTCTCCGAATAACGGGCCTTGAGAGGAAGGGCCTTGAGAGGAAGGGCCTTGAGAGGAAGGGCCTTGAGAGGAAGGGCCTTGAGAGGACGGGCCTTGAGAGGACGGGCCTTGAGAGGACGGGCCTTGAGAGGAAGGGCCTTGAGAGGACGGCAACACCCGGCACATGACAACCTCGCTCTCTGCTATGTGCGTCAAATCCGAGTCCAACTGATTGGAGCTCAGGTGAATGGAACCCACAGACCCATAGCGCCGCTGCCGCCACTGCCAGACACCTCCCTCCCCTCCCGCCCTGCCCTGCTGCTGCCACCCCTCATTCCACCCCCCGGCTTGCTGTGAGACGCTCACGCGGCTGCCGGTGCTGGAAAAGCTGTCACGGCTGCTCATACGCTCCACAAAGTCCCCCCGGCGGATGGTCAGTAGGCGCTTGATGGCTGGCAGGGCGCGCCTGGAGTCCCTGGGGGAGGACGGCAGCGACGCACACTCCCTCTGCACGTACATCTCCTCCCACACTCGGTCCATGTCCCCGCACTCCTCCACCCGCCCCGATTCTGCCCCCCCCAGGTGGTTGGAAACCCCGTACCGGCTCTGCACCACCACGGGCGACGTTGGGTGCCAGCCTTCGGCCACGGTTGCGCCATCCCCCCCCTCCGCTTCCCCCCCACTCGGACCAACCCCGCCTGCCTCCACTCCACTCCGCACCTGCACTGACATGGCCGCTCCTGCGCTACCCACCCTTTCCTTCCCGCATCCCGCATCTCCTTGCGACTGGCTGTTTTGGAAGGTGCGCAGGCTCGAGGAGGAGTCGGGTGGGCAGTCCGGGGCAGCAGGAGTGCGTTGCGCCTGCGAGCTGCCCGCAAAAACCCCGCCTAAGGTGCTGCTCGTGGTGCTGCTTCCCTCGAAGCTGCTCCCCATGAGCCACAGGTTCATGCTGAATTCCGCCTCCTCCACGCGCCTCCGCTCACCTCCCCCCTGCTCCTCCCCGCCCTCCTCCCCGCCCACCTCCCCTTCCTCCGCGTCACACTCCTCATACCCCAACTGAGGCACCACAAACCCCTCTAACCCACTCTTATCGCCCTCTAACTCGGGATGATCTGGACCGCTCATCTCAAGCACTTGCGCGTTGGGGTGCGTGAAGCTGATGAGGTACTGATCAGGTGCAATCGAAGAATCTGATTGGTCAGGCGGAGGGGTTGAGAGGGCACATGTCGAATGTGTGCTGGCCGGTTGATCCTCAGAGCCTGGCTCGCGGCTAGAGCCGCGGATAGAGGAGGAAGCAGAGGGGTTAGGGGCAGCAGAGGCGTGAGAGGCGGTTGAATGCGGTGGGATAGAACCTTTGGAGCTAAGTTCACTGGTGGAGCGATCGCTAGGAAAGAAGCGGTCAACGTCGGACCAGAGGGAAGAATGTGTGAAGCTCCGGGGGCTCGTCGCGGCCTGTCGGTGCTTCGACGGACTCTGCACACGCGCTGGCAGCTCCAATGGGTCGGTGATCTCGGTGCAGTCGCATGCTGCCACGTCAGCATCAACGTTTCTGCTGGGAAATTGCATTTGGCAAAACAAGTGCAGCGAAATACGGGAAGCGGAACAAATCGAGGCAATTAGAAGTACTGAATCTGTTTTTTGAGAATTCTAAAAATGGGGATTCAAAACAAGTGCAGCGGAATAAGGTAAGGGGAAACCAATTGAGACAATAAAATGTACTTCCTGGAAAATGGGAGCGAGAAATGGGGAACGGGGAACTTGGAATGAGGAACGGGGAATGGGTAACGGGGAATGGGGAATGGGGAATGGGGAATGGGGAATAGGGAATAGGGAACGGGGAACGGGGAATGGGGAGGGGCTTTGGGCAACAGGGAATGGGGAACAGGGAATGGGGAACGGGGAACGGAAACGGGGAAACTTACGTTTCTAGCCCCACCAGGTGCATGGAAACCCCAATCAGGCTCTGCATCTCCACGGGAGGCGTGGGGTGCCAGCCTGCCGCCGGAGAAGCGCCATCCCCCCCCTCCGCTTCCCCCCCGCTCCTACCATTCCCCCCCTCCGCTTCCCCCCCGCTCCTACCATCCCCCCCCTCTGCTTCACCCCCGCTCCTACCATCCCCCCCCTCTGCTCCCCCCCCGCTCCTATCATCCCGAGCTGAATCAACTCCACTCCGTATCTCAGCCCCCGCTCCTGCCCTTCCCACCCTTGCCTTCCCCGCCGCATCTCCTTGCGATTGGCTGTTTCGGAATGCGCGGAGGCTCGAGGAGGAGTTGTGCGGGCAGTCCGAGGCAGCAGGAGTGCGTTGCGCCTGCGAGCTGCCCGCGTTGCTGCTCGTGATGCTGCTTCCCCCCTGCTCCTTCCCGTCCTCCTCCCCTTCCCCCGTGTCACGCCCCTCAAACCCCTCTTCTCCACGGTCATCGCCCTCTAACTCGGAATGATCTGGACCGCTCATCTCAAGCGCTTGCGCGTTGGGGTGCGTGAAGCTGCTCGGGCCCTGATCAGATGCAATTGAAGCCCCTATGTGGTCAGGCGGAGGGGTTGAGAGGACACATGTCGAATGTGTGCCGCCCGATTGCTCCTCATGGCCTGGCTCGTGGCTAGAGTCGCGGATAGAGTCGCGGATAGAGGAGGAAGCAGTGGGATTAGGAGCAGTAGAGGCGTGAGAAGCGGTGGAATGCGGTGGGATGGAATCTTCGGGGCCAGGTTTACTGGTGGAGAAGTCGCTTGTACAGCCGCGGTCAACCTCGGACCGGATGGAAGGATACGTGATGCTCTGGGGGCTCGTCCCGGCCTGGCGGTGCTGCGACGGACCCTGCAAACGCGCTGGCAGCTCCAATGGGTCGGGGATCTCGGTGCAGTCGCTTGTACAGCCGCGGTCAACGTCGGACCGGATGGAAGGATACGTGATGCTCTGGGGGCTCGTCCCGGCCTGGCGGTGCTGCGACGGACCCTGCAAACGCGCTGGCAGCTCCAATGGGTCGGGGATCTCGGTGCAGTCGCTTGTACAGCCGCGGTCAACGTCGGACCGGATGGAAGGATACGTGATGCTCTGGGGGCTCGTCCCGGCCTGGCGGTGCTGCGACGGACCCTGCAAACGCGCTGGCAGCTCCAATGGGTCGGAGATCTCGGTGCAGTCGCTTGTACAGCCGCGGTCAACGTCGGACCGGATGGAAGGATACGTGATGCTCTGGGGGCTCGTCCCGGCCTGGCGGTGCTGCGACGGACCCTGCAAACGCGCTGGCAGCTCCAATGGGTCGGGGATCTCGGTGCAGTCGCTTGTACAGCCGCGGTCAACGTCGGACCGGATGGAAGGATACGTGATGCTCTGGGGGCTCGTCCCGGCCTGGCGGTGCTTCGACGGACCCTGCAGAGGCGCTGGCAGCTCAAAGGGGTCGGTGCCGTCGCATGCTGCCACGTCAGCGTCAATCTTTTTCTGGAAACTGGGAGCGAGAAATGGGGAACGGGGAACGGGAACGGGGGAGCTTACGTTATTCTGCTGCACCATAAGCTGAAGCCAGTGGTAGACGTGACAGCGCAAGCTCAAGCCAGAGCTAAGCCTGACGGGGAACAGACATAGTTTGCGGTGATTGCACAATAAAAAGAGAACCTGTCGAGTTAGTAGATCCGCATTCACAACATTCCTCCGTGCGACGTAGCACTAGGCGATGCAGGAGATACCAAGGTCGGTGCGTGAGGCGCCTCAAGAGGGATTTCGCTGTGCAATATAAGCAACGCAAACGCTTGTTGCGTCAGCAATGGCCGATAGAAGACTGCGCGGAAGCGGGGCGTACTTGGTGGAATGTGCACGGCTGCCAAACGAGGTAAACGAGGCCTTTATGGCTTCCTTGAAATGCGCCGTTTTCGATACCACCTCCCCCGCGATGTTCGCCGTTTTAGACACCACCTCCTCAGCGAAGTTCTCTGCTTTTCCCTTGATCTCGCCCGAGACTGCCGCAGCCTTTCCTCTCAGCACTTCTCGCATCGCTTCAGATCTGGACACAAATTCTGCACCCATAGCCTTCGTTCTAAACGCCATTTCCTCACCCAACACCGTTGTTTTCGATACTAATTGCTTCTTTATCGTTGCAACACGATCGTCAAACGAATTTGCTTTCTTAAAGACCTCATCTTCGGCTTCTTCTGCCTCTGGTGGCAAAACCATGGCTGGACTTGCAGATTGAGCTACCACGGATTCGTAAGTCGCACGTTCATCCATCGTAAATATCGAGGTAAGGATCTAAGTAAACCAGTCCCCATTCAGGTAAGCCCGCGTTCTCAGTGGTTCAAAAGAGCCGTAACAGTTTAGAGATCTTATTCGGACTTGAATTGTATTCCAACGCACGGACACCATCCCAAGTAGAGCCACGCGGTTCGAAATGTCATACGTGAATCCTAATCAGCATCTAAGCAAACCGCTGCCCTACCTGAGCCGTGGCGGACTAGCACGACAATGAGTATACAAGGGTTTGTGCAGTGGTGGGAAGGAGAAACATCTACACTATTTGAAGGCTGGAGGCGGTGGAGGCGGGAGGCTGATGCTTGCACTTGCACACTGCAGTGGATTCCAGTTTCCTTACGGGGAAACTGGAATCGCAGAGGTGACAAGACAACCAACCTCATGCACGCCACTTCTCTACAACTACAGTTGTTCTCGTTTATAGTCCTACGGAGAAACACGCCGCGCGCGGACTATATGTCAAAATGTCCGAAACCCCGGGCAAACGGGACCCTATAATCCCAAATTCGAGAAAAGTGCATGAAATGCGGTTTTTTTGTCTCTACTAGTTGTTGTTCCTTGTCATATACGTACGTATGGACCGCGCTTGCTTCAACTTCTCGTCGAACGGTTTTACGCGTTATCAGTGATGCGTGAAAAACGGGCAGAAATAAACAACATCGATTATGTTTGATGCCATAATAAGTTTGACTTTTTGTTTTTTCTTCCTGTCAGCGAGATTACAGAGATGTCATCATCGGGCGTGCTAGGAATCGCGCGACGGGAATATGAAACAAGCGCGGTCAAGAGAAACAAAAAATATCAGTTTCAAATGTTTACTTTAAAACAAATCTGCCTTTTGTAGCATTTTCCGTAAATGTTCAAGGTACTGATAGATGCAATGAACCTGGTCAAAAAAGGGACTGTAGAGGAGGGGCTACACCTAGGAATTATAGGAAAAGGCTCCTCTTTCTGGAAATGGGACTTTGTGAGCGCGGGACTTTATAGCGGAACCATTTGTACAAACTACACATGGAGTCCAGCATCCCACCCAATAAGCACCTACCCCAAGTACCCTTGGGACTGCACTGTAGATGTGGTTGCGGTTGGCTGCGGTGGAGCCCAGGATGGACACGTGTCGTCGAGTGCGCGGAAAAGTCCCTCCGGGGGTATATTTTCACGGCCGTTGATTGGTTTAGCCGGCCTGACAAGCACGGACGCTGGGTCTCGTTGGCGGTTTGGAATTTCCACATTCAGCTCCGGGATCTACACCTGGTCCTCCTTACTTTCACCAGTTAGTTAGCCCTGTCCTTTCAGAAGGGTGAGGTTCTGGGATCGATCCCCCAAAATATATTCCCCTAGTGCTACCGAGCTCTAAACGACGCTACTGATAGCACTAGACGACACTACAGAGAACTGTTAGGGCAGGGCAGAAAAATAAAACCCCTAAGAAACCTGGATGCATTGTTGGGAGAGATCAACCCTAAACACGGTACAGGGCATTGTTTTTAGGGTTGATGCCTCCCTGAGTCGCATCTCTTTCCGATTGGGTTTTAGTTTGTTTGGGAGGGAGGGATGCAATATATATTTCAGTCTTCTGTTAGGCTCCCAGAAGGGCGTTCGCACGTGCTCACATTGGGAGTGGTCATTCCCCAACCTCATTCAACCAGCTAGTGTAAATAACTGGGAAGGCGGGTTACGACTAACAGCCAGGTGTGGGGTAACACCCAGGGAGGTTTCCCCTCTTCCTTTACCTTTACCTCCTGACATTTACAGTATCGCTCGAATCCTTGTTTTTACATACACCCTGTTTTTCAACTATGGCTATCAATATACAGCCATAAGACATTTATGTTTACTGAAACTCACACCCAGTGATCCGAGTGAAAGGGCTGATTGGCAGCGAGAAAATTGCTGCTTACTGTCAGCTCACAAGAGGAATGCGTAACTACCTTTTAGCTAAATTTCAGTTTTCATGTTACCCTCGCAAACTAGCCTGACCAAGAAAATGTTGAATATGGGGGGAGCAAAAAAATCCCTCCAATTTCAACACTTTCACGAAAGATACAGGGTTTTCTAAACCGTGTAAATGTCAAAACATGATAATGTTTATGTTGTGTAGGCTGTAGTGGGGTAGCCCATAAGGGGTACAACCCAATTAGGGTTAGTACTTGTACTCAACTTGTTCTCAATGCATTCATTTTTTCTCGTTCAGTATTTTGACATGGTATCAGAGCAAGTCCTGTTCCAGGACCGTTTTTAGGGCCCACTAAATAGTACCCTGCCCGTCGCGCTGCCCCACCAGTCGCGCTGCACTGCCTTGCCCTGCGTTGCGCCGCCCCGCGCACGCCCTGCCCTGTGTCACGCCGCCCGTGAACGCCCTGCCCTACCCTGCGTCGCACTACCCGCGCACGCCCTGCCCTGCCCTGCATTGCGGCGCCCCGCGCACGCCCTGCCCTGCATCGCGCCGCCCCGCACACGCCCTACCGTGCGTCGCGCGCCCCGCGTCCGCCCTGCCCTGCCCTGCGTTGCGCCGCCCCGCGCACCCCCTGCCCTGCGTCGAGCCGCCCGCGACCGCCCTACCCTGCCCTGCGTCGCGCTGCCCGCGCACGCCCTGCCCTGCCCCGCGTTGCGCTGCCCCGCGCACGCCCTGCCCTGCGTCGCGCCGCCCGCGCACGCCCTGCCCTGCCTCGCGCCGCCCCGCGCACGCCTTGCCCTGCGTCGCACCGCCCGCGCATGCCCTGCCCTGCGTCGCGCCGCCCGCGCACGCCCTGCCCTGCCCGACGCGCTGCCCTGCTGGCCGCGCGCCTGCCTGCCCTGCCCGTCGCGCCGCCCCCGTGCCCGCGCGCCGCCTTGCTGGCAGCACGCCGCCCTGTCCTGGCCGCGCGCCACCCCGCCCTGCCTTGCGCGTCTCGCTATTGTCCGCGCGCCGCCCTGCTCTGCCCGTCGCGCAGTCCTGCTGCCTGCGCGCTGCCCTGCCTTGCCTGCGTGCTACCCTGCTGGTCACACACCACCCTGCTCTGCCCGCTATGGCCTCTCTTAGTGTTCTCACGTTCGATTCTGAGGGTCTTCCGATCCAGTTTGAGACCTGGCTAGACGACTTACAGCTGTACCTACAGAGCGAGTCTAGGGACGACGTCTCCTTGTTTGACCACTCGTCTGGGACCTCTCTTGCTCCTCCCGAGACAGCTGACAGTACGACTCGCTCACAGTGGCTTACCCGTGACGCTACTGCTCGCCTTGCTGTTCACAACCTCCTGCCGTTAGCCGAACGCGCGCACAAGACTGCTAAAGCACTGTTTGACGCTATAGTTGCTCGTTACTCCTCCCCTGCCACTGCTGCTCTAGGCCGACTCATACTGCCCTACCTCTTTCCTGAGCTGTCAGCCTTTTCCACAGTCGACGACCTCATCACCCACCTTCGCACTAGCGACACTCGCTACCGCGCCGCGCTTAAATCCAAGTTTCTAGACAAGAACCCACCCCCCCATGTACATCACTCTCTACTTCATCGTCACCCGCCTCCCTGACTCTCGTCGCGGAGTCAGGGACCACTTTCTCGCCCTTGACCCCACAGACCTCACTGTCGACCTGCTCGAGAAGCATCTCCTTGCAGCTGAGACTAGCACTGTAGCTGTAGCTGCTTCTCGTGGCACTCCTCGCACTCCCTTCTTTGAGGGGTGTTCCTGTCCCCCCGTGCCCCTTCTGTCGCTTCTGCTGCTGCTGTTGACTTCCTTCGTGCTGAGGAGGTCGGGGCTGCGTCTGCTCCTAGTGGGAGGCGCCGCAACGGCAAGGGCAAGGGAGGCAAGAGTGGTGGGGGTGGCGGTAGTGGAGGCGGTGGTGGAGGCGGTGGAGGTGGTGGAGGTGGCGGTGGTGGTGGTGGTGGGAGTGGTGGTGGGAGTGGTGGTGGGGGTGGAGGCGTCGGTGGCGGCGGTGGTGGTAGCGGTGGGAGTGGTGGCGGCGGTGGTGGCAGCAGTGGGAGTGGTGGCGGCGGCAGTGGTGGCGGTCGGGGTGGAGCGGTCCAGAGGGGAGGTTCTGGCGGTGGCCAGAGGCGGCAGCAGCAGCATCCTCGCGAGACCCTTACGCCCCAGCAGCTTCGTGAGTGGTTTGCTCAGCGTGGGGCGTTTGGGGGTAGTGTTCGCTACCCGTACGTCATTCGCATAGGTGATCGGGCTGATTAGACATGCGGGAAGGTTGGTCTCCTGTCTTGACGACGCCTGGCGCGCAGAGTTTGGCGACGAGGCTGAGCTCTACTGCTGGCTAGAGCTACTTAGGAACAATGTGGGTATCTTTGCTCTTGACTATGACGCTATCCTTGCTGGCATGTATGCTTTGACTGTTAGTGCTGAGGGTGACTGTTACCTGTGTGTGCCGCCCGACCCAGGTATAGAGGCTGCTGCTCTAGGTGCTAGTGTGTCTGCTCTCTCTGGTACTGCGCCTACTGAGGCCTTGCACACCTTCACGCTTGACTCAGGTGCATCCCACTGCTTCTTTCGCGACAGTACCACACTCACACCACTTTATGCACCTGTTGCAGTCTCTCTGGCTGACCCCTCAGGGGGCCCAGTTCTTGCACGTTCCTCCACTGTTCTCCCGTGTCCGGCGGTTCCGTCTGGCTCACTCTCAGGTCTTCACCTCCCCTCGTTCTCTACGAACTTGGTGAGTACCGCTGCCCTCCAGGATGCGATGGTCACTACCACCAATCCTGGGGGTCAGCGTGTGTCAATCTGCACGTGTGCACGGACGGGCCGTCACCTGGCCACGTTCACCCGTCGGCCTGGGTCGAGCCTGTACACACTGACTACTGAGCCTACTCAGGTGGCTGCGTCTGGTCAGGTGTCCGCGTCAGGTCAGGTAGCAGCCCCCTGTTCGTGTCGCCTCCTCACGCACCAGACTCTCCTTTGGCACCACCGCCTTGGTCACCCCTCCCTGCCACGCCTCTGTGGCATGCACTCCCGCCTCCTTGTCTCTGGTCTTCCCAGGTCTCTGCCTCCCCTCCCGCCCTCGCCTGCGCCACCCTGCCTTCTTTGCGTCGAGGGGCGGAAGCGCGCCGCTCCTCACTCTCATTTCCCCCGATGACTGCTCCCCTGCAGACTCTCCATATGGACGTGTGGGGCCCAGCCCGCGTCAATGGTCAGGACCGCGAGCGATAATTTCTGCTGGTTGTTGACGACTACTCGCGTTACACCACGGTCTTCCCCTTGCGCAGCAAGGGGGAGGTCCCTGATGTTTTGATCCCTTGGATCCGCGCTGTCCATCTCCCGCTCCGCGAGTGGTTCCGCTAGGACCTTCCTGTCCTGCGTCTGCACTCTGACAGAGGTGGTGAGTTCTCCTCCCACCTCCTGCGGGACTTTTGTCGTGGGGAGGGCATCCTCCAGTCGTTCACGCTTCCGGCCTCTCCGTAGCAGAATGGGGTTGCTGAGCGCCGCATTGGCTTAGTCATGGAGGTGGCTCGTACCTCCATGATCCATGCGGCTGCTCCCCATTTTCTGTGGCCGTTTGCGGTCCGGTACGCTGCACATCAGCTCAACCTCTGGCCCCGTGTCTCCTTGCTGGAGACCTCGCCCACACTGCGTTGGACGGGGGAGGTTGGCGATGCGTCGGTGTTCCGGGTCTGGGGCTCTCGCGCTTTTGTCCGCGATACCACCGCGGACAAGCTCTCCTCTCGCGCCATTCCCTGCGTCTTCCTTGGCTTTCCCACTGACGCGCCTGGCTAGCAGTTTTACCACCCCACCACTCGTCGTGTTGTGTCCTCTCAGGACGTCACGTTTGACGAGTCGGTTCCCTTTTACCATCTCTTCCTCTACCGCACTGCCCCTCTCCTCCCCCCGCCACTCTTCCTCGCCCCATGTCCCCCTCCAGTAGACCCCCTCCCCCCTCAGGGTCCTGCTCCTTCAGGTGTGTCTCAGGTAGACCCACTCCCCTTGGCTGAGCCTTTCGAGGTCACTTCCGACACCTCTGGCCCAGCTGAGGGGGGTGACGTTGCTGATGACGACGCGGCGGCCCCCCGCCGCTCACCACGCTTGGAGACCCCTCCGGGTTTTCCACCTCGACCGTCTTCGCCGCCTCTGCAGCCGGTTGCTGTCGACTCTGGGGGTGGTGCTGCTAGGGGTACTGAGCCTGGGGGTGCGGAGCTTGGGGGTGCTGAGCCTGAGGGTGCGGAGCCTGGGGGTGCTGAGCCTGGGGGTGCTGAGTCTGAGGGTGCTGAGCCTGGGGGTGCTGATCATGGGGGTGCTGAGCCTGAGGGTGCTGAGTCTGGGGGTGCTGAGCCTAGGGGTACTGCGTCTGCTGGAGGTCCTACGGGTGCCTCGCCGCAGCGGTCTAGCCGGCGGGAGCCTCTCTCACCATAGCAGCTACGCGAATGGTTTGCTCAGCGCACCCGCCTTCGGAGTGGCGCTGCTGGAGCTGGAGGCACTGCCGCTGGAGGCACTGCCGCTGGAGGCGCTGGCGCTGGAGGCACTAACGCTGCGGATACTTGAGCTGGAGGCGCTGGAGCTGGAGGCCCTGGAGCTAGAGGCGCTGACACAGGAGGCGCTGGAGCTGGAGGCGTTGGAGCTGGAGGCGCTGGAGATACTGGAGCTGGAGGTCCTGGAGCTGCTGGTACTGGAGGTACTGGAGCTAGAGGTACTGGAGCTGGAGGTACTGGAGCTGGAGGTACTGAAGGTACTAAAGTTTGCTGGTACTGGAGGTCCTGGTGCTGGAGGTACTGGAGCTAGAGGAGCTACTAGTGCTGGAGGTGCTGGAGGTTGGGCGGCATTGGAGCTGACGGCTCTGGTCCTATGGGTGCTGCACCGCAGCGACCGTTTTTCTTACCGCCGCCGCAGTCGTCCCTGCTGCCACCTGACTTAGTGCTTCGCCAGGTTCTTAGTCTTCCGTCTTCCACTGGCCTTACTCCTCCCTTCCTGTGTCCACCGCCTAACCCGTCTCAGACACAGTTACCGTCGGACTCCTCACTGCCTGCTCCTTCTCCTTACACAGAGCAGCCAGACTCCCTGACAGAGCGTCGTGAGCCTGCGTCTCGTCCTGCCTCCCCTGTTCGCACTGTTCGCCGTGCTCGTCGTGTTCCCCGTCCTCGTCCTCCACCTGTCCCTGGCACGCACACTATGGCACTTCGTCCTTCCTCTGTTCCACAGCGTGTTGCCCTGCCGTCTCCTCCAGCGTCCTCACTTCCTACCTGACGTTCCGGACCCTGAGTCTGACTTGGTTCGTGCTGCCAGCCCTACTGTCACACGTCTCCTCGCCACTGTTGTCACTGACCCCTCTTTTGAGACCACTACTGCGTCTGCCTTAGTTGCTGAGCTTGTCGACTTTGCTGCTGCGTGTCGTCTAGACTACGCCACTAGTCTTGTTGCTGAGTCTGGGTCTGTCTGTCCTCCGTCCGTCGGGGGTGTGTGTGCTCTTGGCACGGACGTCCTTGAGGACAGGCAGGAGGACTTTGAGTGTCTTGCAGCTGCTGTACCTCATCTTGTGGCCATGCTGCTTGCACCTGAGGGAGACCCGGATGCACTGGACATCCCGACCCCGCGCTCTTACGCAGAGGCGATTACGGGTCCCTACTCCTCTCAGTGGCAGACAGCCATGGACGGCGAGATGGCATCTTGGAAGTCCACAGGCACTTACGTCGACGCAGTTCCCCCTCCTAGGGCGAACATAGTCGATGGCATGTGGATTTTCATGGTGAAGCGGCCGCCGGGTTCTCCGCTTGTCTTCAAGGCTCGTTACGTTGCACGAGGCTTTAGTCAGCGACAGGGAGTTGACTTCTTCCAGACCTTCTCCCCTACCCCGAAAATGACCACTCTTCGGGTGTTGCCGCTCAGCGTGACTACGAGCTTTACTCTCTTGACTTCAGCACTGCTTTCCTACAGGGCAGCCTGCGCGAGGAAATCTGGCTGCGCCGTCCTCCTGGCTTCACTGGGTCGTTTCCTGAGGGTACCCAGTGGAGCCTCCGACGGCCAGTCTACGGTCTCCGCCAGGCGCCACGAGAGTGGCACGACACACTGAGGACTACACTTGCGGCTCTTGGGTTTGCTCCTTCGACTGCTGACCCGTCGTTGTTTCTACGCACCGACACTTCACTGCCGCCGTTCTACATCCTAGTGTACGTCGACGACTTGGTTTTTGCCATTGCTGACACTGAGGGACTGGCACTTGTGAAGTCGGAGCTGCACGCAGCTATCTTGGCTTGCAGATCACCCAGGACAGAGCACGGCGCACCATCACTCTGACTCAGTCACACATGGTGCACCAGGTCCTTCAGCGCTTCGGCTTCCGGTTCTCCTCGCCACAGTCCACTCCTCTGCCTACCGGTCACTCGCTCTCAACTCCACCTTCGGATGAGTCCGTAGAGCCGAGTGGCCTGTATCCAGAGCTTGTGGGCTGCCTCATGTACCTGATAACCTGCACTCGACCTGACCTTGCGTACCCTCTTAGCATCCTGGCACGCTACGTTGCGCCCGGGACACACCAACCAGAGCACTGGGAGGCCGCTAAGAGGGTGTTGCGCTACTTGTGCAGTACATCGGGCATGGGGCTCGTGCTTGGAGGACGGAGTTCAGTTGTCCTCACTGGACACTCAGACGCGTCTTGGGTTGACGACCTGGCTATGCAGCGGTCGTCACAGGGTTACACCTTCAGTCATGGCTCCAGCTCTGTTTCTTGGCGGTCTACCCGCTCGTCTTCTGTTCTCAGCTCCGGTTGTGAGGCTGAGATCTACGCAGGAGCCATGGCTGCACAGGAGTTACGCTGGCTCATCTACCTGCTGACCGACTTGGGAGAGCGGCCTCGTTCTCCTCCAGTTCTGTACGTAGACAACAAGGCCGCCATTGCCTTGTGTCAGGAGCACAGACTGGAGCACAGAATGAAGCACATTGCTCTGCGTTACTTCCTTGCTCGAGAGTTGCAGCAGCGTGGTCAGCTTCGTCTTGCTTACGTGGCCACACGGGCCAACACTGCTGATATATTCACCAAGGCACTTCAGCCTGGTGATCATCAGCGTTTCTGTACAGCTCTAGGCCTTGTGCCTGCTTTCTCTGACTTGCTCACTACGTGACCTTGCTTGTGCTGTGATATATGTATATATATATACATATACATATGTACCTGCTTGCTTACAATTGCTATGTTGTGATCACTGTACTGTTTGTTCTCTTTTATATAACTCTGCATGTGGATTTGTGACCATTTGCTTGTGCTCGGAGTGTGTGGTGATTTCGTGATCCACCCTGAGTTTTCTTTGCTTTTCTTGACTGGTCTTGTGACCACTTGTTCTCCCCCACTTTGCCTATGGGGGTGTGTCAAAACATGATAATGTTTATGTTGTGTAGGCTGTAATGGGGTAGCCCATAAGGGGTACAACCCAATTAGGGTTTTACTCAACTTGTTCTCAATGCATTCATTTTTCTCGTTCAGTATTCTGACAGTAAAGAGCGGCTCTAGTCGGTTTTGTTAATCGGAGGGCTGTTGCGTGGACCGAACCGCTCTCGGCCACAATCCACAAGTGAAGACAAGGGACTCGAATTTGGAGGGATTGAAACTGGCAGGGGTCAAATGTACAATTCTAAACAAGTTACCGGTATCATGGGATAGGACAACCCGAAGGCAAGCAGGCGAACCGACATGTGAAGCTTGCAACTTGGGCATCTCTGCCTGTGTTTGCCAGGTGCATGCCAGAGCCACAGCAGTGCGAGAGCACGGCGCTCTCCCCAACACCTGGCTGATGAGCGCCGATGCCTCAAGCAGTTTGTCAAAGAATATGTCTGTCTCAACGCACTAACCACACAGCACCGCATCACATCTCATCGCACCAAATCAAGCCTACAACTTGGGAGTCTCTGCCAGTGTTTGCCGGGTGCGTGGCAGAGCCACAGCAGCGCGTGAGCAGGGCTCTCGCCCCAATGCCTGGCTGATGAGCGCCGATGCCTCGAGCAGCTTGTGAAAGTCTATACCCGTGTGAATGCCCAGGCCATGCAGTAGATACACCGCTCAATTGCAGTGCACCGAATCAAACCTAGAGCTTTGGCGTCTCTGCGATTGTTTGTCTTGTGTGGGCCAGAGCCACAGCAGTGCGCGAGCACGGCTCTCTCCCCAACGCTTGGCTAATAAAAGCCGACGCCTCAAGCAGCTTGTCAAAGTCTATGCCCGTGTGAATGCCCAGTCCATGCAGCAGATACACCACGTCCTCTGTTGCCACGTTGCCTGACGCCCCCTTGGCATAGGGACAGCCCCCGAGACCAGCTATTGATGAGTCCACGACTGATACTCCCATCTGAGGGGAGGGGACAGAGGCAAGCACATGAGGTCATGAACCCCACCAACAGCAACAGCCCCCCCATGCAGCAGCAGATACACCACGTCCTCTGTTGCCACGTTCCCCGATGCCCCCTTGGCATAGGGACAGCCCCCGAGACCAGCTATGGAGGAGTCCACAACTGATACTCCCATCTGTGTGTTGGTTGGGTGGATGGAAGTGGGGAGGGAAGGGGGCAGCAGGCAAGCTCATGGGGTCAGCATCCCCAGCACCAGCCCATGCAGCAGCAGGTACACCACGTCCTCTGTTGCCACATTGCCTGACGCCCCCTCGGCATAGGGACAGCCCCCGAGACCAGCTATGGAGGAGTCCACTACTGATACGCCCATCTGTGTGTTGTATGGTGCGGATGGGTGGGGAGGGGAGGGGAGGTTGGCTGCAGCTGGTAGCTGTATCAGAAAGCAGGACCCCTCTTGGTATAGGGCCACCCACCGAGGCCTGCTATTGAGGAGTCAACCATTGATACTCCCACCTGATGTTGGGTGGTGAGGAAGGGCAAGGGCAGGGCGACAACACGAGCACATTTGAGAATTCTCAAAAGTGATTTCAACACGAGCACACACACAAGCACGAGCATTCACAGGCATTGCACGCAGCTCACCTACAGGGCCACGAGGATGTTAGAGGGCCATGGAAGTGGAGAGCGAGGGAGGCGGGGCGAGGGTCGGATTCAACCATTCAAGCGGACACCTAAGCACAAGCACTGCAACCCAGTTTACCTGCAGCGCCACAAGAATATTAGCGAGGGCCTGGCCGTAGGTGTCGTGGAAGTGCACTGCGAGGGAGGAGGCCGGCACACTCGCACACACGGCGTCCAGCATGGGCGCCACTGAGCCTGGTGGTTCGGTAGGGGACAGGGGCACAAGGGTTGGGTGGGGTGTGCGTTTGATGGTGTGTGCATGAGTGCACTGCGAGGGAGGCGGGGGGCCACACACGGCGTCCAGCATGGGCGCCACTGAGCCTGGTGGAGAGGGTTAGGGTTAGGACGGGGCGGGTGAAAGACAAGGCAATGGAGGAGTGAGAGGGAGGCAGGCGTCACGCACGGCATCCAGTCCAGCCTGGGCGCCACTGAGCCTGGTGGGGTGCAATATGGGGAAATTGGGGGAAGGGGACGCGGGGAAAGGGGGAAGGGGCGGAGGAAACACAAAGGGAAGAGTGAGAGAGAGGAGGGCAGCACACACACACATACGGCGTCCAGCATGTGTGTTGTGAATTCTGGTGGGTTGAATGGAGGATGGTGGGATGGGGAAGGGAGACTGTCAGGTTGTTGTGCCTGTGTGTGCAGGACTGCAGAGGGAGAAATGCGGCATACATGCATGCATGCACACTCATGCACAGTCAGAGAGACCTTACTCACAGCACCGTTGCTATCACCCGTCCCACTGCACAGCACCACGCTGCACCGCTTTGAACCTTACCAGGAGTGCCGACACCAATAGTGTCACCCAGAGGCACCTCGTAGCACCCCATGTCGTGCAGAGCCTTGGCCACCCTAGCCACTGCTGCTGGCTCTGAGCAGCCTCACTCACAGCACCTCACAGCACCGCACTGAACTGCACTGTGCCGCACTGCACCGCACTCTGCCACACTGCACCACTCTAAAGCTCACCAGGAGTGCCGACGCCGATGGTGTCACCCAGAGAGACCTCGTAACACCCCATGTCGTGCAGTGCTTTTGCCACCCTCGCCACTGCTGCCTGCTCTATGTGTCCCTCATAGCACCTCACAGCACCGCACTGGATCGCACTGCATCGCTCAGAATCTTACCGGGAGTGCCGACGCCGATGGTGTCACCCAGAGACACCTCGTAACACCCCATGTCGTGCAGTGCTTTTGCCACCCTCGCCACTGCTGCTGGCTCTATGTGTCCCTCGTAGGGGCACCCCACCGCACACGACACGTAGCTGCACATGAAGAATGAAGGGAGCAATTGCAGAGGGGAGGGAAGGAGTGTGGTTGAGGCGCCTCACACCATCCGCCACCCTCACCACTGCTGCTGGGGCTATGTGACCCTCGTAGTGGCAGCCCACCGCACATGACACATAGCTGCGAGTGAGCAATAAGGGGAGCAATGGCATACAGGGAGGTGAACAGGGTGTGGTTGAGGCGCCTCACACCATCACCCACCCTCGCCACTGCTGGCTCTATGCGACCCTCGTAGGGGCACTCCACCGCACACGACACGTAGCTGAACCGGGGGCAATAAGAAGAGCAATAACGGGAGTAATGGTGTAAGGATTGTGGATGAGATGTCTCACAGCATCAACAGCCACCCTCGCCACTGCTGCTGGCTCTATGCGACCCTCGTAGGGGCACCCCACCGCACACGACACATAGCTGCGCGTGAGCAATGGCAAAAAGGGGAAGAATGAAAAATGATTGCTCCTTATAGCAACAGCCACCCTCACCACTGCTGCTGGCTCTATGCGACCCTCGTAGGGGCACCCCACCGCACACGACAAGTACCTGCAAATTCAACAGCACAAGGGGTTGAACGGCAGTAAGGAAGGACCTAGAAGTAAGGTAGCATGGCGCCCTCCCTTGATCTCTTACAGTGGATGACAGGGCGAGCACGGACAGAAGAGTGAGGGATAGGGACCTAGAAGTAGGGTCACATGACAGCCCCCCTCAACTCTATATGAATCACTTATGACAGCTTTCAGAGGTACCCTGCGGTGCAACCTCAACCAAGAAACAAGGAACACAATTAACCAGCGTCTGCCGTACCTTCTCTTACCGATACCAATCATACCCCACCCTGACTCACCCTCTCACAGGAATGCCCATCTCCTTCGCAGCACCGCAAACCGCTCTGTACCGCTCCAAACTCTCCTCCACCGAGCAATTAATGTTCTTCTTGGAAAACGCCTCAGAAGCAGCAGCAAACACGGCCACCTCCTTGGCCCCGGCTGCCACGGCGTTTTCAAGACCCCTCAGGTTGGGCGTTAGCACCGGTAGCTTGGTGCGGCCGTTGCTCTGCACTCGCTGCATCACCTCCGGTGCATCTGAGAGCTGCGGGAAAGGGGTGAGTGGGGAGGATGAAGGGTGGAAAGGGGTGGACCGTGGGCATAGGGGCGGGGGCAGCAGCAAGCACGGCCACCTCCTTGCTCCAACGCGGTCACCGCGCTCTTATGGCCTCCCAGGTTGGGCGTCAGCACAGGTAGCTTGGTTTGTCCGTTGGTCTGCACTCGCTGCACCACCTCACGTGCGCCTGAGAGCTGCGAGAAAGGTGGAGGGGAGAGGGGAAGCAGGTGGCGGAATAGGCAGGGATGAGCCTGGAAACCCTGACTGGAAACCGCTTGAATTGGGTGTCAGCACGGGTAGAGTCACTCACTCACGTCACTCTGGACAGTCTCAAAAGCTCACGCGTGGATGGAATACACTTGAAAGTGCGCGAACCTGCCTTGTGGGGAAGCCCAGCGCCCATAAGGCAGTGAATAAGCTCCAGCTTCACCCCTACCGCCACCTGATGCCTTCCGTTCCTCCGCCCATTTTAATTACCCATACTAGCCATAAGCAGCTGTGCCACTAGAAACACGCACCTGGGGGATCCATTTTGGGGAGACGAAGCTGGTAGCCTCCACCACAGGCAGCCCGGCGGCCATGAGGCGGTGGATGAGCTCCACCTTCACGCCTACTGCCACCTGCTGCTTCTCGTTCTAACCGTACTCGTTATAAGCAGCTGCGTCACTCATAGCACCCACCTGCGGGATCCACTTGGGGGAGACGAAGCTTGTAGCTTCGACAACAGGCAGGCCAGCGGCCATGAGGCGGTGGATAAGCTCCACCTTGACGCCCACCGCCACCTGCTGCTTCTCGTTCTGCAGCCCATCCCGCGGCCCCACCTCCACCACCTTCACATACCGCGGCAGCCACTGCAGCGGGTCCGCCCTCACCGCCTCTGGGACTTTGGCCACACTCTCATCCTTGCCGTTGCCGCTGCTCGCACTCATGTCACTGACTCCAGTAGTGCCTTCTCTGTGGCCATGGCTCCCGCTAACGCCACCGTTATTGCTAGGCACAGTGAATTCTCTCCTGCGCTGTTCTCCTACGGGACTGACCCCCCTCAGCTGCTCCCCTCTTGGGCTGATTCCTCTGAGCTGCTGCCCGCGCGGGCTGTTTTCGCAGCTGCTGGTGGCGGCCGTTGCTGCTTCGTGCAGCTCTCGCCACCACGCCGCGCCGCCCAGCCCCGACCCCGAGCCAGCCGCGAATTGGATCGCCTGCCAGCTGCCCCCGCTTCCCTGTAACGAGCGCGCCCCGCTGCTGCCGTTGCCGCTGCTCATGCTGCTGCAGGTGCTGGTGCTGAAGCTGCTGCTTGTGCTGCTTACGCTGCTGAAGCTGCTGTTCGTGCTTCTCGAGAAGGGTAGCGGCGAGAGAAACGAGACTCCGTGAAAAGGAAACGCATTCACATCCAGGCCGGCGCACACGTGGCTGACTCCGATTGGACCTGCTAAAGCGGCGGTTGCTGCTGCTGCCGCTGTCGTTGCCGCAGCTGCCGTGGCTGTTTGAACAGCCATGGAACTGCACGCGCCCATAGTGTGGTTAGTGATGGGAGATTCTAGATGGTGAGTGTTGAGAGCGTCTAGATGGTGTGCCACCGTGCCGGACGGTATAATTGGTGCTTGTGGTGACGCGTGAGAGGCTTCCAATCCCATCGCGACACGTGGCGTCCAACGAGCTGTGAAGAGCTGTGATGCTGGTCTGGTGGGGGGAACGCTCATACTGGATAAAGAGACACGTGGGCGACAAGGATGGAGGAGACGAAATTATAAGTTATCTGTGTCCCCGAGTCGCTACAATGATATACTTAATGACAGGGACGACTCGATTGCCACCTTACACCAAGGCGTGAGACAATTTAAAGAAATTTGTTATGAATGCGGTCATACCTCGTCCCCGAATGGTATCCAAAGGTGAGCCGTCTGCCAGCTATTCTTAAGAACGTGTCGGCTCGTCCCATAATCGCCAAATGCGCGTCAGTGATGGTCTAGCGTCGTGAGGTAGCTCTGAGGGATTGGAGGCGAATTCGCACATTATACACACGAATGGCTCGACGCATACCGCTATAATAGGCGAAGCTGGCGGCTACGGAAATCGGCTGTCACCATCTAAAGCAGCTCGTGCCTTCTGAATACACGTCATGGATAAACAAGGATAAAATATGGTCGACTCACGGAGGTTGAACGTCTGGCGAGAGGTAACTGGAAGGCGAATCGGGAGAATCACTTGGTGGAGGGATTAGTACAAACAAGTGAGTTCAAAGGGATCCGACAACTACAAAGCTGCACTTAGCGCGTACAAAACAGCATATCAACCAACCACCAATTCCGAGGAAGAATTCCGACAGAGGTCAGAATCCATTCGCCAATTGACTCCTCAATGAACCTACCAGAGCGAACTGGTTTCACCTATCAACTCGAGCTTCCCAGGATTTTCTGACGGCATGCTGACTGGAATTGGGGTCGTGCCGATGGGAGCTAGTCCCAGTATAACGTCATCTTGCCGACCTACCATAATTCCTCGTTGGCTCCACGTTATAATGAAGCTGATTGGCGTGGGCTGGCGTGGGCTGACTATCCATCCGCAAAGGCGAAGTTGAAAGTTTGTGGTGGGTTTAGCTTCGTACACAGCTCTCGAAGAACGGTGTAGGAACTGTACTTATCCACAAATGAAGCGTCTACAGTCGAGTACATCTTTGTGGCTTAGCCACTCCACGTGTAAACTCGCAATTAGCGTGAATGTCACATGAGCGTTGGCGATTTGACCAATGCCCAATCTCTGCATCTGACCTGGACAGGGCAATATTCTCTTCTGCCCACAAAACATTCGTGACGGACAGATCTTGCCTCCGATGCTTGACGGACGGACGGATTGACAGGTTACCCTGGGAACGACAACTTCGAGGACGAAAACTCATAGAAGTGATCGAGGATCAGGATGCAGGATTGGGTGGGTTTAGGAGACGGTGAAGGCCAATCACGAATTATCATTCGCAGAGCACAGTAGGTGTATGGTCTGGTCCGTGGGGGCATTCAAAATTCGGGGCAGGGATGATTGCGACCAGAAGCACAACTGGTTGTGGTTCTGACGATGTTCGCCCCAGCAATAAAAGCATTCGATGAGAGTGGTTACCAGCTTCAGCTGCTTCGCAACCTGAACCAAGCTCTCTGGCTCTCTCCCTCCCTCCCAATACCATTTCCTCCCAAAATCCATTCCTGGTTCTCTTCACATTCACATCCCTTCCTATTTCTGAAGAATCAGGTTCCTCTTGCCGAACGAGGGTCACGCCTCCGATAACCAGCTTTCGTTTTTCCGGTTGACAACTCAACTGCTACGACTGCTGGTTTGCGTGACCGTGAGCCTCTGCATTCCCCCCTGCATTCTTGCAGTATCCAACCATGGCATCCGCATCCGCGTCCCTCCTTCAAAAGGCATTCCTCACCGGATCTCCTCTGAAACTCTCCGCAACTTCCGGCACCGCTCTCGCAGCCACCAATGTCTCCCTCGCAGCGCCATTCCGGAAGACCCCAGCCGTCCGGGCCATGTCCGGAAGCCACGTCGGCGAGATCGCGAGCGTCAAGGCCCGTCAGATCATCGACAGCCGCGGAAATCCGACGGTGGAGGTTGATCTGACGACCTCCAAGTCCAGCACCGTGTTCCGCGCCGCCGTCCCCAGCGGCGCGTCGACGGGGATCTACGAGGCGCTGGAGCTTCGCGACGGGGATAAGAGCAAGTTCGGCGGGAAGGGCGTGCTCAAGGCCGTTGCCAACATCAACAACATCATTGCTCCTTCGCTGATCGGCCTCGACCCGAGGTAATGCAGACGAAATTTCTAGTTTATACACTTTTTTATTATGATTTAACGAAGAGTGAAATCGTGGGACCACAATGCCGGAGGCAGCAATGCCCATTTCAAATCCCCCTCGGCCCTCCTTAAACTCTCTTCATGGATGATCAGTAGTCCTACTATCCCGCCTAATCCCTGTCGCTCTTGACCGCGCGTCCAAATCACATCACATGCTTCAAGTCACCTCAAACTAGATCACATTTCCTCGAATCTCGTGTTTTTCCCCACCTCAGGGACCATCATGCCATCGATGGGCTCATGCTCGAGCTCGACGGCAAGCCCAACAAGCTTATCCCGGCTACTACAATGCGCTCATTCTCATGCATCCCCATCCGTTTTCCCCCTACCCTTTCCCCCCATCCCAGGGACCAGCGCGCCATCGACGCGCTCGTGCTCGAGCTCGACGGCACGCCCAAGTTGTTTTTCCTCGTATTCCTACGCGCCTCAAGCCATTCAACCCTTCCCTGTGTCCTGCCTTTCCACCCTTCTGCCCCTCCTATCAGGGACCAGCGCGCCATCGACGCGCTCATGCTTGAGCTCGACGGCACGCCCAACAAGTCGTCGCTCGGCGCCAACGCCATTCTCGGCGTCTCCCTCGCCGTGGCCCACGCCGGCGCTGCCGGTAGCGCGGTCCCGCTCTACAGGTATGCTCCGCTATAAGCTCCAGCAGTTCCCATTTACAGCACCTCGTGATGCCCGTGCCCGCCATGAACCTCGTCAACGGCGCTCACTCTGCTTGTCTTCCTCACCAATCGCCTCTCGGTCGATCATCCACTCGTTCCTTCTGCCCTCCACTTCCCCAGGCACCTGGGCTCCCTAGCGGGCATGGAGAGGCTTGTCATGCCCGTGCCCGCCATGAACGTCATCAACAGCGCTCACACTGCTCTGCTTTCCACTCTTCTTTCTCTCATTCCCTCCCGGTTCCCCACCTCTCCAGGCTCCTCGCCGCTCTGGCAGGAATCGAGAGGCCCGTGATGCCCGTGCCCGCCATAACGTGATTACGCCCTCTCCCTCACTCTTCTTCCCACTCGTTCTTTCTCCCCTTTACCCCCTCAGGCATCTCGCGTCCCTAGCAGGAGTGGAGAAGCTGATCATGCCCGTGCCCGCCATGAACGTCATCAACGGCGGCAGCCACGCGGGCAACAAGCTGGCCATGCAGGAGTTCATGATCCTTCCCACCGGCGCTTCTTCCTTTTCCGAGGCGATCCAGATGGGGTGCGAAGGTGAGAAGGGCAATCTGAAAAGCAGTGAAAGGGATCCTGATAAGTCGTAGTGAGGCAGCCACGCGGGTAACAAGCTGGCGATGCAGGAGTTCATGATCCTCCCCACTGGCGCTTCCTCTTTCTCCGAAGCCATCCAGATGGGATGCGAAGGTGAGAAGGGCAGGGTCTGGCAGTTTGATAAGCAGTGAAAGGCAGCCTGATAAGCAGTAGTGGGCGCACCAAAGGCAGTCACGCGGTCAGCAAGTGGAAATGCGAAGTTGAGAAGCAGTGGGATGCGGACGACGAGGGCTTGGGTTGACTCAACATTCGGTCAGCCCCCCCCTTCCGCCTCCCCCCACCAACCACCAACCACCAACCACCCTCCCCCTATACCCCTCCAGTGTACCAGGTGCTGAAGGGCATCATCAAGAAGCGGTATGGGCAGGACGCGTGCAACATGTGGCATCATCTACGCCTCTCTCCTTGCCCTTTGCTCGTTGCCCGTTGCTCCCTATATCCCCTCCATTCACCCTATATCCCCTCCATTCACCCTATATCCCCTCCATTCACCCCTGCCCAGTGTACCAAGTCCTAAAGGGCATCATCAAGAAGCGGTACGGGCAGGACGCATGCAACGTGGGTGACGAGGGCGGCTTCGCGCCCAACATTCAGGACAACAAGGAGGGGCTCGTGCTGCTGGTTGACGCCATCGATAAGGCGGGATACACCGGCAAGGTGAGGGGTGCACGGCATGGGACAAGGGGAGGGGTGCACTGGCAGCCGGGCAGCCTGGAAGGGGGAAGAGAGGGGCTTCGCGCCCAACATTCAGGACAACAAGGAGGCCGTGCTGCTGGTGGACGCTATTGACAAGGCGGGATACACCGGCAAGGTGAGAGAGTCTGTTTCTGCACGCAGATTGGGTGAGGCAGGCAGGTGAAGGATGCACGAGCACGGTGAGGGGTCCGGCAGGGGCCACCTTTAAGGGGGCACTCGAGGCTAGCATACGGGACAACAAGGAGGGACTCGCGCTGCTGGTGGACGCTATTGACAAGGCGGGATGCACTGGCAGGGTGAGAGGAAGCAAACGGGTACGGTGAAGGCTTGCATATACCTTCCGCACTCACCCGCCCAGAGCACAGAGCACAGAGCACAGAGCACAGAGCACAGAGCACAGAGCACAGAGCACAGAGCACAGAGCACCGAGCACCGAGCACAGAGCACAGAGCACAGAGCACAGAGCACAGAGCACAGAGCACAGAGCACAGAGCACAGAGCACAGAGCACCGAGCACCGAGCACCGAGCACAGAGCACAGAGCACAGAGCACAGAGCACAGAGCACAGAGCACAGAGCACAGAGCACAGAGCACAGAGCACAGAGCACAGAGCACAGAGCACAGAGCACAGAGCACAGAGCACAGAGCACAGAGCACAGATCAAAGAGCAGACTACGAGATACGACCACTGAGTTCTACTGCCCCTACCACAAGTGCGACCTCAACTCCCAGCAGAAGCCCCACCACTGAAATCCGTTTCCACCGATCTCCACCCTCTGTTCCCGTTTTCGACCCCTCTTTCCATCTTCTACCCCTCCTTTCCGAGCCCTCCCTTTCCATCTTCTACCCCTCCTTTCCGAGCCCTCCCTTTCCATCTTCTACCCCCCCTTTCCGAGCCCTCCCTTTCCATCTTCTACCCCTCCTTTCCGAGCCCTCCCTTTCCATCTTCTACCCCTCCTTTCCGAGCCCTCCCTTTCCATCTTCTACCCCTCCTTTCCGAGCCCTCCCTTTCCATCTTCTACCCCTCCTTTCCGAGCCCTCCCTTTCCATCTTCTACCCCTCCTTTCCGAGCCCTCCCTTTCCATCTTCTACCCCTGTATCCAACTGTCTCCCTCCCCTCTTTGGTTGCTGTCTTCTCTCAGGTCAAGCTAGGCATGGACGTGCCTGCATCTGAGTTCTACACGCCGGACCAACGACCTCAATTTCAAGTAGAAGCCCAACGACGGCACACGCTGTGTCCAACCGTCCCCTTCTCCCCCGCCTCACCTCCTCCGTGATTGCTGTTCTCACCCCTTCTCCAGGTGAAACTGGGAATGGACGTGGCCGCGTCTGAGTTTTACACTGCTGATCACAAGTACGATTTGAACTTCAAGCAGAAGCCCAATGACGGCAAGGATGTCATTACCGGGCAGGCGCTGGCAGAGCTGTACGAGAGCTTCGTTAAGGAGTTCCCCATCGTCTCGATAGAAGACCCGTTCGAGCAGGATGACTGGGTGAACTGGGCGGCGCTTAAAGCCCTGCTGGACGTGCAGATTGTGGGGGACGATCTGACGGTCACGAACCCCAAGAGGATCGCTGATGCCGTTCAGAACAACGCATGCAACGCTCTCCTGCTCAAGGCAAGTTTTGTGGCGCCTCAAAACTAGACAATGCATGCCACGCACTGCTGATCAAGGTAAGAGGAGGTCTGAACTGGTGTGTATCGCTGTGCTGAATGTAAGGAGGCAGAGCAGGTGGGTGCTGAGCTGACTGCAAGCTGGCAGGGTAAGTGGGCGCTGAAGGCGCTGCTGGACGTGCAGATTGTGGCGGACGATCTGACGGTGACGAATCCCGAGAGGATTGCCGATGCCGTTCAGAACAACGCGTGCAACGCACTGCGGTGACGAATCCTATAAAGCAGCACCTGTCTGCTCAAGGTAAGCAGACAGGTGCTGCTATATAGGAACCACAAAACCTTCCTTAGGTGCAAATACAAAAGTGCGGTTTGCCAACAAACAACACGTTGCTTGCAACCTTCAATCCAACCTCCAATGGTTCTCTCCTCCCCGCCCTCTCCCCCCACACCCCCACTCCTCAATTTCTCTCTCTGCAGACCGAGAGAGCACAAGACACAGAGAGAAAATAACAAGACACCAACTCAGCACAAGACACCAACTCAGCACAAGACACCAACTCAGCACAAGACACCAACTCAGCACAAGACACCAACTCAGCACAAGACACCAACTCAGCACAAGACACCAACTCAGCACAAGACACCAACTCAGTCTTCTAATCTGAGGAAATAACTCCCCCCTCCCCACCCACTCCTCCTCTCTCTCCCTCTCTCCCCTTGCAGGTGAATCAGATCGGAAGTGTGACGGAGAGCATCACAGCAGCGCAGGACGCCAAGGCAGCGGGGTGGGGGGTGATGGTATCCCACCGCAGTGGCGAGACAGAGGACACCTTCATTGCCGACCTCTCTGTTGGCCTTGCTGCAGGACAGGTGGGCGTTAACCGGTCTGGTGTGTTTCTAGCCTGTCAGGTGGGTTCTAGTTTGCTGTTGGGGGCGCCGCAGAGGCAGCAGGCAGCGGGGTGGTGGGGAGTGATGATGTTGCACAGGAGTGGCGAGACAGAGGACACCTTCATTGCTGACCTCTCTGTGGGGCTGGCTGCCGGACAGGTGGGTGCAAAGTGGTGCTAACCGGTCAGGTTGGGTGCTAACCATTCTGGTGCGGTGCTAGCCGGTCAGGTGGGGACCAGGTGGCTCTAGGGACGCCTCATGGGCAGCGGGGTGGGGGGTGATGGTGTCGCACTGCAGCGGCGAGACAGTGGCCAGGTGGAAGCCAGTCAGGTGGGTGCTATTGTAATGCTGCTGTTGCTGTTGCTATCATGGCTATTACTGCAGCTCTCCCCTGCTGCTGCTGCTGCTGCTGCTTTTGCCACTGCTGCTGGTATTGCTGCTGCAACAACCATTGCTGCGAGCAGTGCTAGGGTGGTGCAAGCGGTAGTCAGCATTCTAAGCATGCCAGCTCAGCAGCTCCATATGATGCACCGCACAGAGGCAGGGTTCCACTCAGTGTGCCTCCAGGTGTATGTTGACCTTAGCAAAACGGTACCTCAGTTGAGCTCAGTTGGATTGGGCTGTAAGTGCATCTTTGTAATGTCAGCTGAATTTCTGCATGGCATGCTCCCTCCCTCCTGTTTTGCCAATGCTCTTTCCCGCATCCCCTTTCCCTCGCCTTTTGTACTCCTTTCTTGTCTTGCTTGCTGCAGATCAAGACGGGGGCTCCCTGCCGTAGCGAACGCCTGTCCAAGTACAACCAGGTACAGATTCTTCCCATATCCATTGGCGATTGACGGCACATTTCACTGTCGCATTGGTTTGTATAGCGTGTTAGAGACTCGCTCAACTTCACATGTGTTTTCCAACCAATTTCTGTTGTGTTGAATGTTCTATTATGCAGTTGCTCCGCATAGAGGAGGAGCTCGGGTCCGATGCGATCTATGCTGGCGAGAAGTTCAGAAGCCCGTGATCTGGGTGTGCCCTTATGTTGATGTTTTAGCACCTAGTGTACAATAGGACTTGCTAGCTTTCCTGGTTTTCCTATCATCATCCAAAATGGAGGGCGAAGAGGAAAGTTTTGCACAACTTATTTGGGATTGCACATCGCAGGCATTAGTATCACAATGCACACCAACTGATCAAAGAGCACTGTCATATTATTGTGCAGCATCACTGAATGAAATTTATCATTCTTATCTTTTGGAGGTGCAGTTTTGGTCTGTGATACTTCCGACTGATGCAGCGATGCTACCTTGCTTTGCCTTCGGCCATCTCATTTTCCAACATGCCCCCACCCCACCCCACCCCACCCCACCCATGATTCCCCTCCTCAGGGTCCCTAATAAAATCAGGCACATGGCAAATTATCTCTAGGCCCTAATTGTATTGTAGTCAGTACATTCAATCACAGCTCTGTTATCTCTCAAACAATCTGTAACCAGGATTCTCCCTAGGATTTGAACCAGCTCACACGTTTCATGCAAGCTTGTTATAAGATACTATTGAAATGTAATTATTTACCTATTACCGGTGAAATTTGCTGCGTACTAGTGCAATCGAGTCTGCTAATAATTTCCTAGGCACGCACAGGTAGACGGTGCTCATGAATCGTCGCAGGGATCGTTCACCTCAACACCAACCGAAGTTGTCGCCCGTCTGGAAACGATTGTCTAGTACACGCACCATCGTGCACCGTCGTATTGTTGGAACAGCTTGTCGCAAACTGCATTTTTGCAACCCTGCGGCGAAGCTCAACCGTCTTGGAGACGTCGCACTAGCAAAATCGTTTCACCACACCTGAACCAAAGTTTCCATCGTCGAACCGCATCCAGCTCAGCCCCTCCGCCGCCCCACCATAGCCCCTTTGCTTCCGCGCTCTCGGCAGCCGCCTCGATTTCATCTATCTGCGCTTGCCCTTTGTCCCTGCGGCGTGGCGCGAGCATGCGAGAGGTTGCGCTATCCACTGTTCGGGTCCTCCCTGCAAATCCCCGCCTCCGACAAGATATCAGAACCTTTCCGCTTTCGGCGGAAGAAATTTGCGCCCAAAATTTGAGTCCGACGGGCAAACCGACAGCCCGGGTCCACACCTCGCTCGCTCCGCCACAACTGGCTTGGCTCGTTCAATTCGATACCAACTACTGTAGTGCAGCCTGTGCCCAGACCGGTTTCCCCCTAGTGTTCCTCCCACCACTTCCGCCGAGCCACCACCAACCATTTCCCCGGTGGGCGGACGGAGAGACGATTGAACTCGGAGGGGCTTGTTTGACATGCCTGGAAAACTCACCTGGTTTTCTGTGTCGAAACTGTTGAGCCGTGGTGCTCACGTTGGCGACGCAACGGTTTAATGTGGTTCGGTATATTTGATTGTGTTAATGTACGGTAGTGTGTGAGTGTGGAGGAGTCAACACCAATCTACCATGACCGTCATCCTTCTTCCTTCCTCGATTCTGCCTTGCGCTTTCGGCATCCCTCTTCTCCTCCCTGCTATCGTCATCTGTGCTTCTTTCATGCTCGTAATTTCCCTCCCCGCTCCTCGCGTCTCGTGACTGACCGCACTAGTCTTTACAGTATTCTTATCGCCAGTTTAGCTCAGTTCTGACCTAAATGGCGACCACCTCGCGTGCATCGTCTTCTTCCAGATCGTTTGTTAGTAGTCATTTTTCGTGAAGCCTTTGTTCAATAATACGCCTTAGTACCGTCCCCGGTGGAAGTTAGGGTTCGTGTGAATCTGTTGGATGGACTACAGAATAAGACTCTCCTGTTAGACCATCTTCTCTTTAGGCATTATGACGAGGCGGGAACCTCGTCCTAGATGGCACTGGTTGATAGGTTTCGCAGTGCTACTATCGTATCCATGTAGACAGCTCGCCTCTCGACCAATCCGAGAGAAGCTACTAGATTCCGAACTACCCCTTTGGGAAGACGAGGTGCGTTTGCCACTACCTGCGACTAAGACATGTTTAGTTAGGCTTCCTTCACGTGTTGCACCACTTAGGTTACTTATTGGGACTGCACGGTACCCTAAATCAGCGGAGACGTGGAACCATTACTACGTTGGATCCTGTCTGAAATGTTGAGATTGTATTCTGAATCTACCTTGACTAGTCGAGTAGGTACTTTTGACTGCACTATACGTTAGAGTCGTCAACGTTCATGCTCCATTCACTAGAAGCGTCAAGACTGACGCTCCTCTCCGTTTTTCTCCGTCCCACTTTTCCGCATGCGCACTCCATCCCATCTGTCCCGCGCCGTCTCCCCGCCGTCTCCCCGCCGTCTCCCTCCCGTCTCCCCTTATCGTCACTACCAGTGGAGTTTACGACCACTCGTGTCGGAAATCGTGGAGACCACCGACTTGTCGAATCTCAAGATATTCCCCTCGAATATCTCAGGAACATACAAAGGTGAATCAGGAAGCTTCTTCCGTCAGGCGCACTAGCCATTTTGTCGCATCACGGAGGTTAGTTTCCTTATCGCGGCGCTTCTTAACGCGGATAGCGTGTACCGTGCTGTGTCGCAGGCACATGGGAAGTCGCGCGAAACTCCTCGTCTTCGCGATTTCCCGACCTACAGAAGAATTCAGGAAATATCATTTTCCAATTAAAGACCAGCAGCACGGCTCGTCCCGAGGTTCACTACGTCCATGTGAGCGCCTGCTTCTTTCTCCTTAGGTGTCCTTTGAGGAGCCTCAAAAGGTTCACTACGTCCATGTGAGCGCGTGCTGCTTCCTCCGTAGATTCTCTAGAACCTTCTATATGCTAAGCATCTCGGGTTGATCCTGTCGATTCAAATGGCAAGGGTATGGTCTGGAGATACTTCTGGTAGATAAGCTGGCGGTTCATTGGTGAAGAAGCTGGTCTTAGCTCGTTCGGGTTCCGGTCTTCGTGTGTGCGAGGGGGGGGAGGAGGGGGGGAGAAAGGGGTGTGAGGCGCCTGGCGTTTTCTTGGTGAAGGAGCCGGTCTTAGCTCGTTCGGGTTCCGGTCTTGTGTGTGTGAAGGGGAAGAGGGGGAGGAGTGGGTGGGGTGAAGCGCCTGGCGGTTGTTCATTAGCCTTTCGAATGGATGCGAAGGCAAATGCGGAAGGCACTCTTTGACTGAAAGAGCGAATATTTCGTCGGCTAGTCGCGTGTATATTTCGCTGCAACCTGATCTTTTCGCGACCCTTGCCTCTGTCAATGCTGCGTGCGATATAGTTACCGTCATTGTGCTGTGCATGCCCCCTTTCCCCCTCGCGCTCTGTGCTCTGAGACCTGCGCATCGTGCTGGCGGCGTGCGCGACGACGGATTGGCAAGTCAGGATGGTACTGTTAAAACGCGGCACTCACTGATATGCACGTTTGCGTGGTGGTCCGGTGTTCCCATGATCCCCGCGAATGCGTGGCAGGGTGAGGTGGTGCTACGGGACGGCATGTACATTAGCGACGGAGACGTGCATATGAAGCTCGAAGGGGTCTACCTGCGCCCCTTCGGCCACCTTAGAATGGTTCTCAGCAGGTGCGTCATGCCGCCCCGTGTGTTTCGTGAATCCCTGACTCGACGTTCTCGGTCGATGTCCTTTTCCGCTCCCGAGCTCCCGTTGTTTGTTTCAATAAGTCAGAAACCGCGTTGCATCGCCCCTGTAACGCTTTGGTACACCTTTTAGAAGTCCACACGCTTTTGTCAATCCCCCACCCCTCTTCCATCCCCTTTCCCCCCCCCCCCTTCCGCCCGCTCTTCTCCCCCTCCTCGCACGATCCCCGCCCTTGCTGTTTCCGCTCGCCCTTCTGCTTGCGCGCGCTGCTCGGCGGTCGCTGACTCCGCGGAAGTCCTCACGCTCTCGTCCATCCCCACCTTCCTCCCGTGCTGTTTGCGCTTCCCCGTCCCCCCCCCTTCCCCCCGCCTTCTCCGTGCGCGCGCAGCTCGACGGGTGCTGACTCCACAGAAGTGGACGAAGAGAGCACCGCCAACGGCTACCAGCTGGTGAGTTTGGAGGGTTTGGCTGGTGAGTTGGGGGGGATCCGGTAGTCCTAGTTTGGAGTTTTGGCTGGCTGGGAGATTGGGGCATTATGTGGTTAGGTTGGAATGCGCGTGGCTGTGATGGTGATAGCAGCAGCTCGACGGGTGCTGACTCCACAGAAGTGGACGAAGAGAGCACCGCCAACGGCTACCAGCTGGTGAGGTGAGTTAGCGAGTTTGGAGTGCGTGTTGTATGTCTGTTTCATTTTCCAAGGCTCGGTGGGTGTGTGATTCACGATGAGAGCGCCGCCACGCTGTTAGCGCTGCGTGCCATGGATAGGGACAGGGCGGCTGTTGTCCCTCGGATTGGAAGGTCGTCTTTCTCCCTGAGGGCAAAGCGTGCCTCACAACCGCCGCACCTCGCTCGCTTCTGTTTCACTCCTCGCACTCTTTTGCCCTCTCACTCTCTTCTCCCACCTCTCTCCTTCGTCGCCCTGCAGGAGCTGCACGACTCCAGTAAACGAGGCCAGGGATCACCAGATCACAGTATGGCCCTCCCGCTCTCTCCTCCCCCAGGCCCTCTCAGCCCCCACGCGTTCTCTGCTTCTTGCCCTCTCCGCCCCCACGCCTTCTCTGCTTTTTACCCTCGGAACCTCCAAGCTTTCTCCACTCCACTCCCTCTCCGCCCCCACTCCCTCTCCGCCCCCACTCTCTCTCCGCTTACTGCCTCCTTGTTGTACCGCCGTATCCCATCCCTTCCCACCGTTCTTTGTTCCCGTCATAGCGCTCCGCCTTGCATAGTGCCGTTCTGCCCGGCCGCATCTTCTTCTTTTCTGTCTAACGCTGTTTCCCATTCTGCCCGCCCGTCTCCCTTCGCCCCTCACAAATGCCCCACATGTGCCTCTCGAGCTGACCTGGCCTGTTCTCTCACTCCGTCTCCCCTCCTCCCTCTCCCGCCCACTTCCGTCTCCTCTTCCCCTCTCCCACCCACTTCCGTCTCCCATTCCCCCTCTCTCGCCTCCTTCCTCTCCTCCCCCACCCCCCCTCCGCCCCTCCTCCCCCGCGTCCTCCCGCGTGCAGCAGCGGTGGTGGAGATGGCTCGAAACTGCAAGATTAGGATGATCACGCACGTCTCACCTGCCGTGTGGGAGTGGCGAAGTGAGTCGCCCTTCCGCCCTAGACCTCCCGCCCTCTCCCTTTCGCCCTAGACCTCCCGCCCTCTCCCTTCCGCCCTATACCTCCCGCCCTCTCCCTTCCGCCCTAGACCTCCCGCCCTCTCCCTTTCGCCCGCACCCTTCCATCCTCACCTTTTAATCCACAAGCTTCCCTTCCGCACATCGCACATGCATCCTTCACCCTCACTCACTTGCTCGCTCTCAACCACCAAACTCACAGCGTCCCCTCCTCCCTCCCTACCCTCGGCCAACCGCCGCCAGTCTTCTCGTTTCCTTGCCTTCCTGTCCCCACCCACGCTTCTCTGTGGCGAGTCAATCTCTACCTCCCCACGCACATGATGTGATGTGACCAGCTGCTGCGTCCTCACTCCCTCTCCCGCCTCCCTTCCTCCCTCCCCCCTTCCCTTCCCCCTTCCAGACGGCGTGCAGGAGCACGTGCCGAGTCAGATGCAGGGCTTTGTAGAGAGCGTGCAGGAGGACAGCAGCGCAGCCTCCTCCTTTGCCTCTCGCCACCCCTTCTTCAGACCACCAGCTGCCGCCGCTGCTGCTGCTGCCGCCGCTGCTGTTGCTGCTGGTGGGAATGCTGCGGTTGGTGCGGTAACTGGAGCAGGTTCGGCAGGGATAGGAGCGGGGCTAGGGCTAGGGTTGGGGGTAGGGATGGGGGGAGGGGGCGGGGTAGAGTTGAGCTCAAGTATAGGGGGGTCGGAGCTCTTGGCGGAAAGCAAGGGGGGGCGAGGGGGAATGGGAGGAATGGGCGGAATGGGGGTGGGGGAATCGTGGGAGGCGGATGCTGCTCTAGTGGCATCAGAGGATCCGGTGGGGGGGAGGGTGGTGGGGGGAGCGGGGGAGGAGGGGGAGGGGGATGAGGGTGGCGCGCCATGCTTTGCGACTCTGCGGATCAACGCCACTGCGGTTGACCTGGAGGCGTATTACAATAAGGCCGTCAACTATACCCTCATGGTCACATTCGTAAGTTCCTTGAGACTTATGGCAAAGCCTTCTGGTCCGCACTTGTAGCCCTAGAGGCGGATCATGGGAAGGACAATGCCTCACTCGGGCCCATTTCTGTGATTCCCGTTCTGCTGCTGCTGCTGCTGCTGCTGCTACTTCTGCTGCTGCTGCTGCTGCTGCCACTTGCTGCTGCTGCTGCTGCTGCTACTTCTGCTGCTGCTGCTGATCCCTGCCCCTTCGCCATGCCTTGTTGCTGCCTCTCTCTTTCGTTCCTCCGTTCTTGCGCATGCACCTGTGCTGAACTTCCCCTCCTTGCCCATGCGTCTGTCCTTCTGCTGCCGCCGCCGCCGCCGCCACTGCTGCTGCATGTGTGGGTGCAGATCTCCTTCCTGCAAGTGCTATTCATCATTCGCCAGATGGAGCACAGCAACACTCAATCAGTGCGTAACGGTCCTCGTCTCCTTTCCGTGTCCTCTGCATTCGCATGCCTCTCTTCTGTGCTGCTGCTTCTCCTCCTGGTTATCTCGCCCATTTCCCACAAATCCTGTGCATTCTGTACGTTTTTCCTTCCTTCCTATGCCCCGTATTCGCCTCTTCCCATCCGTATTCTCCATCCGTATTCTCCATCCGTATTCTCCATCCGTATTCTCCATCCGTATTCTCCATCCGTATTCTCCATCCGTATTCTCCATCCGTATTCTCCATCCGTATTCTCCATCCGTATTCTCCATCCGTATTCTCCATCCGTATTCTCCATCCGTATTCTCCATCCGTATTCTCCATCCGTATTCTCCATCCGTATTCTCCATCCGTATTCTCCATCCGTATTCTCCATCCGTATTCTCCATCCGTATTCTCCATCCGTATTCTCCATCCGTATTCTCCATCCGTATTCTCCATCCGTATTCTCCATCCGTATTCTCCATCCGTATTCTCCATCCGTATTCTCCATCCGTATTCTCCATCCGTATTCTCCATCCGAATTCTCCATCCGTATTCGCTTCTTTTGCTTTGCTTACCTCTCCCCTTCTTCTCATGCCCTTATTCCCATGCTCCTGTGCTGCTGTTCCTGCTGTGCTTCTCTTCTCTTCTGTTTCTCATCATCACCACACTATTCTCCTCTCTCCTCCATCCTCACACCTCGCTCACTCATCCGCCCACTTCCACCTCCTATCCCCTCTCTCTCGACATAACCACAGGGAGCAGCCAAGGTGTCAATGCTGATGGTGGGGCAGCAGGCCATCATGGATGCGTACCTCTGCCTGCTGCACCTCACAGCCGGCATTGTAGTGGGTAAGCTAATACATCCTCGTTATAATGTCCTTCTGGAGGGACTGTAAAACACGCCTCCAGCAAGTCAACAGGCCATCATGGATGCGTACCTCTGCCTGCTGCACCTCACAGCCGGCATCGTAGTGGGTAAGCCAGTTGTCCTCGCTATAGTATACTTCATCCGTACAGCGTCACCTCCTCCCTATCTGAACGCCATCTGGAAGGCCCAATCTGATCATAAGCATGTGCCTCCTATCCCTTCCCCCCTGCTCCATGCCCCCTGCCCCCTGCCCTCTTCCCCCTTCCCCCTGCCCGCTGCCCCCTGCCCCATGTCCCTCTTCCCCCTTCCTTTCATCAGGAGCGGAGTCCCTATTCAATGCATTCGCCACGGCATGCTCGCCGGGGCAGCAAGGCTCCAAGGCTCGATTGCGGATTTTTGTCTTCTTCATATTCGAGATGCGCTACCTGCTCTCGCCATTTTGAAGGCCCAATCTCATGGCTCACTGTGCTCCATTCCCTGTCCCATGCCCCCTGCCCGGTGCCCCGTGCCCCGTGCCCCCTGCCTCCTCCCACTGCCCTGTGCCTGTCTCCCCCTCCCTCTCACCAGGAGCGGAGTCCCTTTTCAATGCCTTTGCAACAGCAGCGTTCTTCAAGTTTGTCATCTTCTCGATATTCGAGATGCGCTATCTGCTCGCCATCTGGAAGGCGCGCCGCCCCGCGCAGTCCTCGGAGAGCTGGGACCTCATGAGGCGAGAGCTCTCCATCCTCTACTCGCGCTTCTGTGAGTGCCGTGATTGACAGGAACGCATAAGGTGGTTGTGCAACAGGTGTCCTCACCTCACTAGGGTCTTGCTGCCCCACACAGTCCTCCAAGAGCTGGGACCTCATGAGGAGGGAGCTCTCCATCCTCTACTCGCGAGGAGGCGCCCTCATTGCCGCAGTTGAGTCCGCCAGTCCTCCGAGAGCTGGGACCTCATGCAGCGAGAGCTCTCCGTCCTCTACTCGCGCTTCTGTGAGCGACTTGATTGATGGGAAGGGAGGCATGAGGTGGTTGATGGGCTGCTACAGGTAGGTGTCATCACTACAAACTCGCCCCCCCAGGCAGTCCTCCGAGAGCTGAGACCTCATGAGGCGCGAGCTTTCTATCCTCTACTCGCGCTTCTGTGAGTGGCTTGATTGATGGGCAGGAACGCACAAGTGGTTGGCTGATTGCATTGGGTGAGTTGCGAGGAGGTGCCCTCATTGCCGTGGTTGAGTCTGCCAGTCCTCTGAGAGAGACCTGTGGCCCCTTGTCTGCCCTCCTTCCTCCCCCCCCCTCGGCCTAATGGCTTCCTTCTGGGCAAAATTCTCCTCGTCTACCACTTCAGTACGGCGCTGCGCTACCTGTTGCTCCTTCCTCATTCTCACTCCTTGTTGCCCCTTTGTTCCCCTCCCCTCGTTTCTCCCCCTTTCCCCCTCTCCTCCCCCGTTTCCCCCTCACCTGGGCTTCCTCCTAGGCGGAATTCTCCTCATCTACCGCTTCAGCACAGCGCTGCACTACCTGCTGCTCTCTTCTCACTCTTATTCCCTGTCTTTGACCCCTTCCCCACTCCCCTCCCCTCCCCCCCCTCTCCCCTCCTCCCTTCTCCCCCTCCGACCTGCCAGACGGCTTCCTCCTGGGGGGGATTCTCCTCATCTACCGCTTCAGCACGGCGCTGCGCTACCTGCTGCTGCTCTTCTACTCCTTCTGGATCCCCCAGATAGTCACATCCGTTATAAGGGACTCGCGCAAGCCCCTCCACGTGCACTACATCCTCGGCATGTCCGCCACGCGCCTCGCTATCCCGCTCTACATCTTCGGCTGCCCGAAAAACTTCATGCGCGTGGAGCCGAGCCCTGCGTGGTGTGCGGCGCTGATCGCGTTCATGGGGGCGCAGGTGGCGGCGCTGCTGCTGCAGCACTACCTGGGGCCGCGGTGGTTCATTCCCAAGCAGGTGGGTGGATTGCTGGAGTGGGATTGTTTCTCCCCGGACAGGTGGGTCACGGGTGGGTGGCTGGGGTCTCATTGGTTTCTTCCCAAGAAGGTGGGCTGGCTATGGCTGGAACTGGCTACTTTCGCCGTGTCTCGTGCCTCATGCGCCGTGTCTCGTGCCTCATGCGGCGGAGCAGCAACGCGGATGGCAGTGATAGGCATGGCCTTTGAGACGTCTAAAAATGGCTACTTCCGCCGTGTCTCCTGCCTTCTGCGGCGGAGCAGCAACGCGGATGGCAGTGATAGGCATTGCCTTTGCTCCCCACGCCCCTCACATGCTCCCGTTCTTCCATGCTCCCCACCACCATCCCCAACCCCCCAGTTCCTCTCTGAGAAGTGCTCCTATTTTCGCCGCGTCTCATGCCTCGTGCGCCAGAGCAGCGACACGGATGACATTGATAGGATCAAATCTCATGCGTGTGCCTCTCTCTCACGTGTTACCATGCTCCCATGTCCCCGTGCCCCCCACCACTTTACATCCACTCCCCTCCCCCCCAGTTCCTCCCGGAGAAGTATTCCTACTTCCGCCGCGTGTCGTGCCTCATGCGGCAGAGCAGCGACGCGGACGACAGCGGCCCGGCAGACTGTGTCATCTGCATGACGCCCGTGCCCATCACCTCGCACTCCATGGACCGCATGGTGAGATGGATGGCTTGTTTTGTCGTATTTAAGTCACACGGTCATCTGCATGACGCCCGTGCCCATCACCTCACACTCCATGGACCGCATGGTACGATGGATAACCGGCATCATTTGTTTCATTCAGACGCTTTGATGAATGATCATCTGCATGGCTCCTGTGCTCAACGCCTCTCACTCAATGGACTGCACGGTACAGCGGATGGCCTTTTTTGGGCTTTCTGGCTTTTTTTTATTCAAGTCCCTCAAACACAGTCGTCGTCTGCATGACGCCCGTGCCCACTGCCCATCACCTCTCAGTCCATTGACCCATCAATCATGGTGAAGCAGCACTCGATCATGCATGGTGATGCCCTTTGGTTTCTTTGGACATTGTACTATGTGCAGCATGGATGGAGCTTCACTGCTTCTATCTATCAATCTCGCACCCCCCCATGCAGGTGACCCCCTGCGACCACATGTTCCACACAGCATGCCTGCAGCGCTGGATGGACATCAAAATGGAATGCCCCACCTGCCGCCGCTGCCTGCCGCCCGTCTGACCCCTTTTTGAGACCTCTCAAAAGTCGCCTGTAGCGCTGAATGGATGGACAAAAAAATGGATAGCCCAACTGCCGCCGCTCTCTCTCCCCCGTCTTTTTCGCCTCCTCTCTCTTCCCTCTCTCTCCATCCTCCTCACAAGTACCTGCTTCTTCCCTCTCTACCGCTCTCCACCCTGTGAGACTCCACTCACACCACCACCCTTCTGCAACCTCCCACCGCCCATGACCCGTCTTCCTAGCCCCGTCGGCATCTTATCCGAACCATCGTCGATTCACCCGTGTCCTCCCGCCATCACAATCACTTGGGAAGGGGAACAAAAAGGGCGAAGATCCACCTAGGTGGATCCCACACACAGCAGGGAATGAGTTATGGGAGGTTATAGGCTGTGATTTGGCTTCCAAAGGAGGGAGCACCTGCTTGTTACCATAATGGGGGATTAGTTAAGTAGCACCAGCTTGTTGGTGCACTAACTAGTGGAAATGGGTGCTTTTCTCAATCTAGAGGAAACAGAACATATTGCATCTTTATCAATCAAGCAATAAATCTATAGCGAGCAATAAGTGCCTGCAATGTTGGCGTCAGGGCTGCATGGCTTGTTCCATCGGACAACCTAAGAGGGTGGTACACCTAGCTAGGGTTTAGCAACGACCCTACAGAACAGTTTGAGATCGTAAGAACTGTTGGCGACCCTAGAGAACAGTACCCTACCAACTACTGTACAGTAATGATTTGGATGATTTTGATTGGCTAACACTGATTACAAATTGTCACTGTGTTGGACACTGTTGAGTAAGATCACATTACTGATCGTAAGATCGCCACTGTTCTTTAGGATCGTTGCTAAAACCCTAGCTAGGTGTACAAATGGTTCCGCTATAAAGTCCAGCGCTAACAAAGTCCCATTTTCAGAATGAGGAGCTTTTTCCTTTAATTCCTAGGTGTGGCCCCTCCTCTACAGTCCCTTTTTTGACCAGGTTCATTGCACGTATAAGTGCCTTGAACATTTACGGAAAATGCTACAAAAGGCAGTTTTGTTTTGAAGTTAACATTTAGAACTGATATTTTTTGTTTCTCTTGACCGCGCTTGTTTCTTATTCCCGTCGCGCGATTCCTAGCGCGCTCCACGATGACATCTCAGTAATCTCGCTGACAGGAAGGAAAAACAAAAAGACAAACTTATTATGGCATCAAACATAGTTGATGTTGTTTATTTCTGCCCGTTTTTCACGCATCACTGATAACGCGTAAAACCGTTCGACGAGAAGTTGAAGCAAGCGCGGTCCATACGTACGTATATGACAAAAAACAACAACCAGTAGAGACAAAAAACCGCTTTTCATGCAATTTTCTCGAATTTGGGACTATAGGGTCCCGTTTGCCCGGGGTTTCGGACATTTTGACATATAGTCCGCGCGCGGCGTGTTTCTCCGTCAGACTATAAACGAGAACAACTGTACTTCCCCTAAGCCTATCCCCGCTCGGCCAAAGATCTGTACAGAACAAGAACGGCAAATCTCTTCCAGATTTTCTCTTCTGTGGTAAGTCCGCCAGTTCAAACCTCATCAACGCATCCGGGTTGCAAGAGTTGGGAATTTGGGAAACTTTCGGCCTTTGAAACGTTCACCCTCTGGCCTAACTGTACCGTTTCTAATTCTCTGCTAAATGTGCTACGGCGTAAGTTCAAGCGTTTCTAACCCTAGTGTCCCCACAAACAGACGGATGAGCTGGATTTCACAGACGAGAGCCCATACATTTCAGGCCCTACGTCAGGGAATTGATTGCACCCAGTTACAGCCCGATGTACAGTCAATGCCCATTACCAGAACACCAGGTAGCCGGGCGACATGTGCGTGAAACGTGTTTTAGCATTTCGCTTACTCGCATGTATTTTCGCGCTCGTCGTCACGTGAAAAATTGTGACTAATTTGAAATTGGAAAGAAAATGGAATGTGGGTGTTTAATTTTGTAACCAGGTTAACATTTTGATAACGTGCGTTCTTTGTTATTTATGAACTATAGATGTTAACTTCCCCATTTTGGTGACTGTACTCCGAAAATTTGCACAATGCTCAATTTGGTCATCCCACCGGCAAAAACGTTGGGGAATGAGTAAATTTCCAATTGTGACGATCATTTTTTTTTTGTGATAGGCTGAGTATCGACTATACGTACAGCTGTACAATCGATGTTCAACCTGTCACAAAGCATTTTCTCATCAAAATTATAAATTTAGTCACTCGTAAACGTTTTGCCCGTGAGTGACTAGATTGAGCATTGTGCTGAATTCGGGGTACAGTCCCCAAGTTGCGGAAAGAAAACATCTACAGTACATAAACAACAACGGTTGTCCGTCATTAGAAATGTTTTCCTGGTTACAAACTTAAACACACAACAAAAAACTTCATTCCAGCGTCATTTTACAATCACACTTTTGCCCGTGGCGACAAGCACGAGGTAATTAAAACTCGTTGCAAGCACATGCCGTCCGCCTACCTGGTATTCTTGGAATGAGTACCGACTGTACTGTAATGGTCAGGAACCATTGGTCCTACAGGTGAGTCAGCAGCAGCTGGCTGGGACTAGTTGTATGTCGTTAGCTAAACATTCTGCAGCGAAGCGAACGTGTCGTGAGCTCAGCACCAAACAGCTCTGCAGCTGTACACTTGAGAACAATGTAGAATCGAATCTTGTTTCTCGCCAACCGCGTAAACACACTACTGTAGTTCCTTGGACGTTTTCGGCTATGAGTTCACGCCTGGGCATGGCGACATTGGCTTGAAGTACACATGATGCTCAACCCCTGCGCGTGAATTTATTTTTGGCCGATGCAAAGTCTGCACCCGTGTTTTATGGACCGGCCATTTGCACCCACGTTACAATTCCCTCTAGCAAGTTGCAGTGATTATGAACCTAGTCACAAAGAGCCCGAAATCAAACTGAATAGACCAACTTCAAAATGTCAACGGATAAGTTACATTTTTTTTACAAGCCCAACTTTGCTAGTTGCAAATTGACGAAACCCGTGCGAAATGCAAAATCAATTAATCGCCCTCTTTGTAAAGCAACCATGGGGGACCGTGATGTCACATGTGTAAGATTCGCCGCGTTGATCAATGTCGCATAACGAACGTGCAAGAAAAACAAAATCAATTATATTTGAGGCCAAAATGCAGAACAATATTTTTTGTTATATCATCTTCGTGCCCGCTGGGAACTCCTAGACAGGAATTGGACGCAAGCGCAGTCAAGAGAAACAAAAAATAACAAATGCAAAGGTAAATCTTAAACTGAAGCTTTTATTCCTTATCATTTGTTGTGAATGTTCTGACAGGTTCGATCGGCGTCCTCTGATTGGATGTGGAGCTGATTTTGTGCAATGATTCAGTCAAGATGCAAGGTTTCCCGCCGAAAACGGGATTTTGAAGGAGGGGATACATCTAGGACTTTTGTGATTTATCTTCTAGACTAGAAGATATGACTCTTTTTGAAAGAGCCTCTAAGCTAGAACAGCTGTATCTCGCAGTTTCTTCCTCGCTATCGCGGAACCCGGACCCATATTTAGGTCAAGACTCAAAAGCAAGCTTTAGCAAGCTGTGGTTCTACGACGGCGACGATGGCGCCCGCCCGCGATTTAGTGAAACCAAGCTTTAGCAATTAGCTTGAATTTCCCTCCAGCTGCTGCGACAATGGCGTCCGCCGGAGCTTCAGCCACACGAGTGCAGCACTCTCGCCATTCCTCCGCGTCCCTCGCAGTTATCCCAGCCGAACGCTTCGCACTCTTATCCCAGCCTTCGTCTTTCGCAAATTCCGCCGTCTCGTCCCCCGTAACTGCGCGCGCGGATACTTCCGCAGCCAACGCGGAAGGCGCAGCCTCGCCGTCGGCGCCTCCGCCCGCCAGATCCGCGCAAGCGCAGACGGCGGCGGAGACCGTCCCCGTCCCCACGACGGGCGGCAGCGAGTGCGCGGCACAACCAGGTCGAACGAGAGAACCACTCACCTCAGCCGCCGTCGCCGCTCGTACAACCGACGGCGTCTGCGCGGCGGCGAGCCAAGCCGGCAGCGGCGCGGCGTCAGAGCCTTCGACTCGCGCCGCAGTATCGAATCCTCCCTCGAGCTACGGGCTGTCGCTGCAGCAGCTACAGCATCTCGTCGCGCTCACAAACGCCAACGACAGCCCGCGCGACGCGGCCGCAGCCTTCCCGTACGCAGCGACGAGTGACGGCCGAAGCCGCCTGTCGATTAACTCCGCGCAGCGGCGCCTCGACTCGTGGAATCGCGCGCGGGAGCCCGTCGTCGAAAATACCGTCGAGCAGATCCGCGCGCGGCGGAAGCTTAAGCGGAGCGGAAGCGACCCCTCCTTACGGCGATCCGCGCGCGGGGGGGAGGATAGCCTGGGCGGCCCGTCGCGGCCGCTAGAGGGCGTCGTTTCGGAGGCGCGGAAAATTGCGATGCGCCGGTGGCTCCGCCGGTCGCGGAGCGCGCACACGTTGGGGGAGAAAGACACGGCAATGCTTTGGAACGAGGCGATGAAGGCCATCATCTGGGGGCGTGGCGGCGCCGTCGTTTTTAGACGGCCAGCCGGCGGGAGTTCGCAGGCGCGGCCGTCAGGAGGCGAACGGTTGGGGAACGGCAGCACGCAGAGTTCGGGGGCAGGAAACGCGGCAGGATACAATTCAGCTTATGCGTCAGGAATTACATTCAGGGTAGCGCACGGGGGGATCAATGGCGGTCTCGTGCAAATAGCGTCAGGGTCATCATCTCCGTCATTATCCCGATCAGCATCAGCATCAGCAACAGCATCAGCAACAGCATCAGCAACAGCATCAGCAACAGCATCAGCAACAGCATCACCAGCATCATCATCACCATCACCATCAGCAGCAGCTGCAGCAGCAGCCGAGGTGGCAGCGGCAGCGGCAGGAGCACGGTATATGAGCGCAGGGGACCCCAGAGTATTCCCTAGCGAGAAACTCTGTAGAATACAGATTTCAGGTGCAGT